GATTGACTGGTAACCAACATCTAATCCTCAGCAACGTTGCCGATGAAGACCTCCCAACGATGAAAGAGATGTTAGCTAAGTACAAGCTTGATAATGTTTCTTTCTCCGGAATGCGTCTTTCTTCCTCCGCATGTGTCGCTTTCCCAACATGTGGTCTTGCCATGGCTGAGTCCGAACGTTATCTCCCACAGCTCATTACTAAACTCGAAGGCGTCATTGAAGAAAATGGCATGCGTCAAGATTCTATCGTTATGCGTATGACAGGATGTCCTAACGGATGCGCTAGACCCTGGTTAGCCGAAGTTGCTTTCGTGGGTAAAGCCTATGGTGCATATAACATGTATCTTGGAGGTGGATATCATGGTCAACGTCTCAACAAACTCTATAGAAGCAGTATCAAAGAAGAGGAAATTTTGGAGATCATGAAACCATTGTTGAAGAGATACTCGTTGGAGAGAGAAGAAGGCGAGCACTTTGGAGATTTCTGCATCAGAATTGGTATGATCAAAGAGACGACTGAAGGAAAAACTTTCCATGATGATGTGAGTATTTCTGTTTTCTAATACATGACTGAGATTTATCCTAACATTCATACTAGGTTGCTGAGGAGGAATCTGACGAAGAATGAAGATATGATTGATTGAATGAATAGAATTCCAAGAGAATAGTCCTTTCTACACTACACGTGCGCATGGCGTTTCAACGGGTTAAAAATTACCAAATGATTTATGTTACTCTTATTTTCTTGTTCATATCTTCACAGATATGCTATGAATGATTTCAAACAAAGTTTGGCATTCAACTGCACATCCGATGGGGTTTGTTGGTTTTCTCAATCTTTACATATTTGAGTCACCGGCAGCAATGTCTTCTTAAATTCAAAATAAAATGTACATTACAAAATCCTGAAATAAATTTGACGTCTAAATTGTCTTTTCAGTACTTGATGATGCCGTCACAGTCGAGGACAAGCCAAAGTCAAGTAGTCGAACTTTGAGTGAATTTTACCATGGCTTGGAGATGTGCAATGACTGCAAAGATCGTTGAGGCATTTCATATGAAAGTCAAGTAAAGCTTGTTTCTAGCCAAGTAGGATGTAATTCATAATGGGATGGATTGGTGTTTTATTCAGGTGAGATGTTATCAGTTTTATCAATGAAGTGACCCTTTGATTTCCTATGGCGGGCTAAACCTGAAGCCGTTGAATTACTTAGGGACGACATTGATGAACTGAAGTTGGTATATTCATGGGTTCAAGCAGAAAGAAACGTCAAACAGATCTCTATATATCATCTGGTGTAATGTGAAGTCGTTTGCTATGGATACTAGGTTCTTCCTCGTGTCTGAAATGCATGTTGATACTAGAAACTGCGTTCTGTGGCTGGAAGATGTGAACTATAAGTTAATTACTGGATTTGGTAATGCTGGTATAAGTTGTACCACTTCCACGCAGCTCGGATTGTACGATGAAGTGGATTGGGTATGTTGTGCCAGTCTCTTCCAAAGTCTCCTTCACAAGCAGGTCCTTCATTGTTTCCTCAAGAACCTAATGCAAGATTGCCTATCTTCCAATCATCATAGTTCATTGGGCTCCCTTTAGCACGGGAAGCTCATGTTGTACCCAGATTAATGGATGAAACAGCGCTAGTGTTATTACTATTACACGACGGGGGAAGGAACTTGGTCGCACCTACCATTTTGTTATAACTTCTCATATCGAATTGGATCGCCTCAATTTGATGGATACATTGAATTTGAAGAAGAAGAAAAAAAGGGTAGGTTCGATGGAAGCTAAAAGTCTAGTTTTGTACTCTTCCACTAAAATCGGGGGTCCTTCTTTGCGAGGTTAAGTCTCTTTTTCCTACAACTACAAAAGTTTCTTTCTCGTCGACAACAATTTTCTTTTCCACAAGTCCTCATGTTCTTCCAATCCTTCAATTGCAATTCATGGTCTCGATACGCATGGTAAATCGTACATTCTCTGTCACACTATCTTGATAGTTCCCTGCCAAAATCTTCCTTTTACTTCATGGTCACCTTCCATTCGAAAACCCATTCAAAGTTTCTACAGCGATTATCTACTTCCTTTCACCACATTCACATGTCTAGTGTACTATAACAAATTATCAAGTCACATTCACAAACAATGGCTACACCCGCTGCACCGGCAGATCCTGCTGGTGACCCTCAGGTCAACGCCGAGAATGCTAATGCAATGGCATCTGCGTATGTTCAACCCCAGCATAAGAAATTTCACGATTCTTCAGTTACTTTTGAGGAATATCATTACTATGCCGGTCTCGCACGCGCAGAAGAGGATGCTAGTACTAATAATGATATTGGAGACACTACTTTGTTTTCTCTCATTGTTCCACCCAAGAATTTAAAGGGTCAACCCCCAGTCAATTCACCTGTGGCGGAGAAGTCGAATGAGGGAAATACTGAGAATGGAGCTGAAAAGACAGCTACTGAGAGAAATGTACATGATATGACCCCTGGTGATCGCTCAACGGTTACGAATGATGAGTGGACAAATGCTAGTAGGGCTTTGAGAACGGCTACTTGGTCTTCGGTGTTTTATCTGATTACCACAGATATCTTGGGTCCTTTTGGTGTTCCGTAAGTAATTTAATCGCTACGACTTTGATGAACAATCAGCTAATATCTTACTTGCTAGTTTTGCCTTAGGTACTCTAGGCTGGGGACCTGGTATCGCACTTTATACTGTGTTTGGAGGATTGGCTGTGTAGTAAGATATATTTGATATCTGTACTTGAACCACACACTAACAAATATTAGTGGTGGATTCCTTTTATACTACATGTTCCTCGGACTCGATTCCCATCAATATCCCTTAAGAACGTATGGAGATATAGCTTTTCGAGTTTATGGAGCACCTGTTCGACATGCAGTCAACATTCTTCAATCTATCCAACTCCTCTTCAATGTTGGTGTGATTGTTGTTGGCAATGGACAGGTTAGTATTTTCACCGCTTGATGGATTTTCTACCATTTCTTCAATCTTTCAATAATCTAACTCAATTATAGGCACTCTCTCAAGTCTCGAAGTTTAAACTATGTTACGCAATCTGCTGCCTTGTGTTCGCGCTTGCCGGATTTTTCCTTGGTCAAGTTCGCACTTTACAAAAATTTGGTTGGTTAGCCAATGCCGCCATCTGGATGAACGTTTTCATCATTTTGTGTTCGATGATTGTCATTTCACATAGTGCGCCAAATTACTTAGCTATAAATGCTGCTGCTGGAACTGCACTTGGTGGTGCACTCGTCACTCCAGATGATGCTGGTAACTTTCCACCCGTCACAACATTTGGCAATCTCCCTCCTTCAACAGCTGGCTTCACTGGTGCCGTGAATGGACTCATGCAAGCCGTTTATGCATATGGAGGAGCTATGTTATTTACAGAATTCATGTCGGAGATGCGCAAACCCCATGACTTTTGGAAGGGTATGATTTGTGCTCAAGCATTCATCTATATTCTGTACATGATCTACGGGTGCTTCATCTATGGCTATCAAGGTCAATATGCTGTCAATCCTTCCTTTCAAGGTGTATCCCCCTATGCGTGGCAAACTGCCAATAATGTCATTGCGTTCATGTCAGCTCTGATCGCAGCTGGCCTCTATGGTAATATTGGTATCAAGGTCCTATACAACAACATATTGATGGATTTCTTTGATGCACCACCTCTCAACTCACACAGAGGAAAATTACTTTGGATGAGTATTGTTCCATTTTATTGGTCAATCGCTTATATCGTTTCTGCTGCCATACCAAATTTCTTCGGTCTCTCGTCCCTTGTCGCAGCTTTCTGTATTCTACAGTTTACCTATACATTTCCGCCTATTCTCTACTTAGGCTACTGCATCCGAGTTGATGCTATGCTGGACACGGAAGGTTTCAATCCCGCCACCGGTCAAGTCACACTCACGGATACTGGATTTAAAAGAATCTTGCGCGGTTTCAGAAAGAGATTTATCTTAAACACCTGGAATATCATTTACTTCTGTGGTGCATTGCTGACGGCTGCTTTGGGTGCGTATAGTGCTATTGAGGCATTGATTGCAGCCTTTAAGGAGCCTAAAATTACGGCTTTTACGTGCATGAGCCCAGTGAATGCTGGATAGGGCAGTCAAGCAGAGAGAAATTTGATTGCTTTACAAGATTGAGAAATTTGAATGCCAAATTATGCGAGGGAATCATTTAATGTATGAGGTCGTTCAAAGGATGCGAAAATCAAGAGTCTGTCTAGCTAACTAGGAGATGTATCTTGGGGCAGTTTTGGTTCGCTGTGTAACTATGGGTGAGGTGGATTGCTAATCATGTATGAGTAATATGTTTCATATTGCTAGCCAAGCGCGGAAGGAATTCCAAAGGAATGTCTATATATACTTGACAGGTAATTTATTTGCTTAAATATACAATACCAAAGGGAAATGATGGGAGATTGATATCAACACACTTAAATCGAGATATTTTAGCTATACAAATAAGAAGATTTTGACGTACAACAACATGATTGATATGTGTGATAGATATTTTTGAAACTTGTAAGATAAAAAATCTGTAAATATAAATCATATAAATGAGTCTGCAATGTTGGTATACTGGTTGGTCATGGACAGGAAGAATGTAAAGTTTAAGAGTGTTTGAAATTGTGAGCAGCAGCTAAGAAGAAGTCTTTTCTTGCTGTGTGTAGGTAGATAGCAGTGTGATAGTTAGTAGTAGCAGAAGCAAAAGCAGTGATAATACGAATACCTAGTTTTTGAGATTCGAGCCTAGCTCCACTTGGTGAATTAATGATGTATGTGATATGCATGGTAATCTTTGGGAATATTGAAAATTCTTCCTATTATATGTTCTCTCTACTTTCTGGGGCGGGGGTCGTTTGGTGGGTGAAATCAATGATGAAGGACGTCTATCATGACATATCGAGTAGAGTGATTGCGAAATAGATTTATGAATCTATTTCTCTGGGCACTCACGCCTCCCCAGCAGCCACCTCCTTATGACCCTTGATCAACCCCTCCCTCCTCGCCTCCTCATCCACAATAAACGGAATCTCCTCTTGCAAAGTCCTGCCGGTGGGGTTCCACCCCAAATACTTCCTCGCTCTCTTCGCAAACCCCTTCGAATTCAATCCCCAAGACACTGCTTCGAATCCCGCCAGTTTCTTCGCTTCATCCACATCCATGGCCGCTACTTCTTTCGTTTTAATCAGCCCTTTGGCGAATGCGTCGGCGCCGACCTGGGCGGAAATTTCGCCCCAGACGTGGTGACCGTTTTCGGCGAGGAAATAACCTTTTTCGTTCCAGATTTCTACATCTTCGGAGGATTGCGAGTCTGGGACCGCGCGCTCGACAAGCAGGAGGAAGAGAGTGCTGAGATCGTGCACGTGCACGTTATCCCACTCCGTGAGACCTTTGCCTAGTTGGGGAGCTTGACCTTTTTGCAGGGTGATGCGCACGAGATTGTAGACTTGTCGGCTGCGTTGATTTCCGGGGCCGCGGCCGAGACCGTAGATGGTGGGGGGACAGACGATGGCGGTTTTGAGGGAGGGGGAACCGGCGGCCAGGACGAGCTTGTCGATGTCCCGATGGAAGGCTGAGTCCGGAAGGGAGGTGAGTTGAGAAACGCCGGTGAGGTCGTCGTAGGGGGGTTGAGAGGGGGCTTCGCCGTATGTGTGGGTTGACATGTCTTTCCAGCAGAGGATGCCCGTGCCTGAGAGGTGGATCCAGTAGCCTGGGTTGGAGGGCGTGTGGCCGCGGGCGAGACCGGTGGCGATGGCTTTTGCGGCGATTTCGTGGTCGGAGGAGTCGGCTGTGTCTGTTTGGGTGGGGGTTTGTTAGTGGGGTCTTGGGGGATTGGTTTTTGGAGATGGGATAGGATAGGATGAAATGGAAGTTTGGTTCTATGTCAGATAGAATGAGATAGGATTGGGTTCCTGTTTCATATCATATCATATACAATAGAATATCATAAGACAGAATAGAAGTCCCAAGAGCAAAAACCAAACCGAAAAAACATACGTAAAACAACATCCGCCTTTGCAGCTTCCTCTTCAATAATGGCCGCATCTTCCAAAGTACCATATACTAAATGAACTTTTGGAAAGACGGCGGCGACAGGAGCGCCTCGATCAGAGTTGCGGACCAGAGCTGTGTATTCCCAGTCGGGGTGGGCGTTGTAGAGTGTGTAGAGGGCATCGCCTCCAGTGTAGCCTGTGGCTCCTGTGCTTTTGAGGGAGTGAGTTTGGGGGTTTGTTGGTGGTGGTTGTAGTTGTGGTTGTTATGAGAGGGGAGAGAGGGGAGAGAGGGGAGAGAGGGGAGATGGGATAGGTAACTTACATGAATATTTTGGGCGCCATTGTGTTTGTATTGTAGAATCTTCGTGGTATTATTGTATTGGAATTATAAATAGAAGTTATGATTTGCTTGATTGATGTCAATATAAGAAATCCAACAGAGTAAAAATACCTCAAGAGTAATGGGGAATGTATAAATGTTAAGCTCTTCCCATCACATCATTGGATATATATGGGGAAGTAATGACGTAAGATATTTTGATATTTATAAGCAGGCAATAGAGGGGTAAATATTGATATTCTCCATGTTTTCAATGTTTTCAATGTTTTCTTCTCTTAAGACTTTAGCCATCGATTTTCATTACCTATTCAAGTACGAGGTATGAAATGTGAGTGTGTATTAGGTGTGGTTGATAGGACTACTACCGCTTTATGTGTAACCTCAAGAGAGGTTTTGGCTCCCCTTCTGAATGTCTTTTTATGCATTATGACTATTAACCGTTATTGAATGTTTTCATCAATCTTGTTCAAGAAACAATGTCATTGATTCGTTTTGATCATGGTATACCTCCTAGGTACACACACACCTACCTACCTACCTACCTACCTACCTACCTACCTACATACCTAGGTATACTTTGCCTGCGCTTATTTGCTTGCTTTGATTCATTATGCCAATGTAATCCTACACTCGTAGATTACCAATTGTGGTATATTGTAGGATTTTCACTTGAGATCCTCCAGATGTGTAAAGATACCCGTGGACTGTTTAGATACAGTAGATATCTCACGTACCTCGAAATAAGTCACGGTATTGCTCAGATTAATACCTCCAGTATCTTACATCAACTAGAGGTACTGTTTAGATAGATATCCCGAGTGCCTCCAAGTACCTAAATAAAGATACTGTTTAAATACCTAGTAGATACCTCAAATGCCCAGGTAGCTACCTAGCTCGTATATATGTAATCTTACTTTCCCATACTAGGGACCTCTCTTCGATCTTCAACAGGTACGTACCTGTCAGCATGTTCTTGGTACCTATATATGTATGTATGATACATGGATCGGCTATACTCTCTGCTCTTTGGATTTTCGGATGAGGAAACACAGTCCGTTAATGGTACCATTTATCTTCATTCACACAAGGCCACTGGAGAGTAAAGGTCAATATAAAAGGCCAATATAATCCTTACTCGAATCCACAAAATCCTCAATTACCCCAGTTACTGGGTATGGTGTAATTGACCTTGATATTTGGTTCGGGGGTGAGGGGGATGAGTAGGACTCCTGTAGGACGATGAAGAGTCACCAGCTTAGAGATCAGACTCAGAACTCGGAATTGAGAAATGAAATGGACTCTGAGGACTATTCGATATGGTACTTGGATATACGATGATAATCTAGGTAGGTAGACTGAATTAGAAGATAGTTTCTCAATTTATTATTAGTTAAACCAACACTTATGCAAGGTTACCTTTGATCAATGTCGTACTCCTAAAGGTTGTTTGACTGTTTACTGACCACGACAGAAATAAGAAGCGTACCAAACTTCACTTCCTCCCCTCCCTCCTTGGCAAATGGGCGGTGGGAACTTGGGAGGTGGCGAAGCTTGGATTTCTTCAACTAATAGGTAGTAATTAATGCGATAAGGTCTGGCTGTGAAGAAGGATCATTTTTCCTATACCGTTGGTTGGTGAACAATTCTTTGTATGATGGTTTCAGACCTTGGATTTGCTTCAAAACGCATCCCGATATTGAAATTGATTCGACAACACTCGAACGTTTGGTAGTTAAGTAGCCCAAACATCTACCTCGGTCCTCGGTATGTACAGAGTAATAAGTAATAAGAAATTATCTAGTACATCTACAAACCTATGATCTTTAAACACCATCTCCTTTCCTTTTCTACTCCATGACCAATCATTCGAATCACCATCACCATCACCATCACCATCACCAACTGATTCCTCCGCTGGATGATATCAATAGATCTTCGGGTCATCTCCACGGTCCGACTCGCTCGCACGATGAATCCAGACCAATCAACACAACTTCTTCGACACTAACCGACACTCCTACATCCTACATCCTACATACTAACCTCCTGTCAGGACAAGACTAACTTCACCAACCTATCAATCAACCACTACCGCCATCTATTATAAGATTGAACGTGAGCTAACATGACCTTATATAACTATCACCATCTGACAGCGAGTTATCCCAATGTCTATCTACCATGTTTCATCTTTTCAACCTCCCCTCTCCCTCCCCGCCCCCGGATAATGATCCTTATAATAATAAGTAAAGGATTCATAAATATGATTAACTTAAGCTTAAATTCTTCTTCATCTCTAGGTAAACATATTCCGTAACCATCACTAACAATTACCTCAAATGACTAAAATAACCAAAATAACCACACTTATTATTATAAGTTATTATTATTATACACTCATACTCATATAATCAACCATTCACCAATACCGAGATCCTCATTGCCAAGTGACTGATTCCCCGCCCTTCATCTATTAAACATTCACTCAAGTAAGTTACATAACGTACCTAATCTACCACATTCATAAATCTTTCCCTCAAAATGGGGGTATAATTATTATTATTACTCAATCTTCTTCTTCAGCAAATCTCTTTTCTTTCGACCTTTCCTTCTACTTTTTCTTCTTCGGTTTCTACCCTCTTCTTCTCCTTCAATACACATTGCCTAAAACAAACAAACAAACAAACATACATACATACACATATTTCATCATGCGTTTCAATCCCAGAGATGTTTTTGTTAACGGTACTATTACCGCAAATCTATTCGTTTCCTCATACATTGGTACCATCAGTACCTTACATTTATCCCAATCTTCAAATGGTTCATATTCGCTCAATACTTTGGCCGTCAACAATGTCACAAGAGATAATCCTTCGTGGTTGCATAAAGATCCCCAAAATGGCATCTTGTATTGTTTAAACGAAGGTTTAACTGTCAGTAATGGAAGTATCTCAAGCTTCACCATTGCTGAGAATGGTACTTTGACTTTATTGGGAAATAGTTTGACCATCAGTGGTCCTGTTAGTTCGGTTCTTTTCAATCAAGGAAAAGCCATGGCCGCTGCTCATTAGTAGGTATTGCGTTTACATCTACATTCAGATTGTTCTACAGTGGAGATCAATACATCATACTAACAAACAACAGCAATGGTGCCTCTCTCACCACCCACAATATCCAAGCAGATGGAACTCTCTCCCCCCTTCAAACCATCACCTTCACCATGCCCGGTCCGGGACCCGATCCCCTCAAGAGACAACTAACTCCGCATCCCCACGAAGCCCTCCTGGACCCAACCGAGAAATACATCATCGTCCCAGATCTCGGCGCCGATCTCGTCCGCGTCTTCTCCATCGATCCCGTTACCGCTCTTCTAACAGAACTCACTCCCTACAAGGCTCCTCCAGCTAGTGGTCCCCGTCATGGTGTCTTTCACGTGACGGATTGTGGTGATACTTACTTTTATCTGGTTTCGGAATTGGCGAATACGGTGTCGAGTTTTAAGGTGGCGTATGGAGAGGGCGCTCCGGGATTGACTTTTACCAATATTGATAGTCATGGTATTTATGGTGATGAGAAGACACCTGAGGGAGCGGCCGCTGCGGAATGTCTTTTGACTGTAAGTTTATTATTGTTAATTCTCCATCACATATCAATGACGGAGATAAAAATCACACATAAAAGATAGAATACACACTAACATGCTCAGCCCGACGGAAAACACATCCTCACCTCCTCCCGCAACGCTACCATTCTCTCCCTCCCCCAACCCCCCACTCACCCCCTAAACTCCACCGCTCTCCCCTCCGACACACTCCAAACCTGGAGTATCAACACCGCCTCCAATGGTACTTACGGCAGTCTCTCCTTCTCACAACTCTTTCCCTCAGGCGGCATCTACCCCCGTCAAATGTCGATGAATAAAGCTGGGACTCTTGTAGCGGTCGCGTTACAACAGAGCGCGAGAGTGGTAATTGTAAAGCGTGATGTGAAGACGGGATTGTTTGGGGATTTTGTGGCGGATGTGCAGGTGGGTGATTTTAAGGGGGTGGCGGGATTGGATGGTCAGGTTACGAGCGTGGTTTGGGATGAGGTGTAGGAGGTTTTTTAGGTTGGGTTATGGGTTTAGATGGGTGGGGAAGGGGGTAGGGGATTGAGGAGGGAGATGAGAGTTGGATGGCATTCATACTGGTTGTGAATGGAGTGAGCAGAGAAAGTTTAACTCTTTGATCTATGATATGATATCACATCATACTACCCATGAGCGACGAAACATCAACGAACACACGGGTACAGATATCCATCCATCCATCTATGTACACATACATACATATTTCAAATTAGATTAGACTAGATTAAATCAATCGTTGCATTTTTCAATAATTATACAGAGTACATTGGCTGTGCAGTTAACTTGAATTGATGTCCTGCTTTACTTATATCCTGAGATCTCTACTGTGTACCTTGCTCTACTCAACATCTTTACTTTAAATCGACCACTCTACTTTCGAACCACTCCTATTTTGGGCCACTCTTTTACACCAAAAATTGCTTTTTTAATCTATTAATATTTTTATTAATATATAATCTAATATAATAAAAATTTGAATATATATAATTTAAACTATTTTAAGCTTATTTTGAAAATTTAAAAATTTTAGGAATTTTTTATATTAAAATTTAAAGTTTTAAAATATTAATTTTTAAATTGTATAAAAATTATATATCTTTTTGAAACTTTTATAAAATCTTTAATAACTTTTTAATAATAATTATTAAAAGAAAATTATATATCTTTTTGAAAGTTTTGAATTTAAATTTATATAGAAATTTAAAAAAAATTAAAAAAATTAATAGATATAGAGATATAGTATATAATGAGTTTAAAATAGTATAAATAATTCCTATAATTTTAAGGGTATTTTTTTTAAGTATTTATTTATAGAAAATTTTCTTTTTTTCCTAAATCCTTCAAAATAAATATATTATAAATTTATAATAAAATTTTATAGTTTATTTTTAATAATTTTATTAAAAAGTTATTAAAGATTTTATAAAAGTTTCAAATTTATATATAATTCCTATACAAATTTAAAAATCGATATTTTAAAGCTTTAAATCTCAATACAAAAAATTCCTAAAAATCTGAAATTTTCAAGATAAACTAAAAATAATCTAAATTATATATATATAAATTTTCAATGAATTTTATCTATAAATAAGAAAATTAAAAATTCCATTTTTAGTAACATAACTTATGATGAACCAGGTGTTACGGAGGTACCCGCACCGCAACATGGATTATAAGATAAACCTAAGGCCTTGGTGTTGGAACCTACGAAAACAGCACTGTAGGGACAGTTGAATTAAAGGGTAACTAAAGATAGAGGTAACCAGATAAGTAATCAGTGATTAAAAGATAGGTACCTATCTTTTGTTGTTACCTACCCTACAGTGGGCACAGGGTAAGCAGCAGTCACAGGTCGGCTAGAGAGCACAGGTTAGATAAGCGGTGGCATCATTACCAGTCACGGGATGGACATCACGTGATCAGGAAACCGACTTGTCGAAATCGGCTTTACGGTAATCGACTTGTCGATTCATAAGGTACGAAGATCTATATAAGAAAATGGGTTTCATTATAATGTAGAGCTTCGTGCTCAAGAACAATCATTAGTTTCATTACTATAGTTACGAGAATTGCAACCAGTTACAACCTTATTGAATTCCTACTTGAAGTCTAGTCTAAACCACCTCGAGAGATCTCTAGACACTTCCACGTGACCCTAGAGGCAGCTCCCGTAACACCAGGTTATATGGGGAATCGGGTTACATTTAGCCCATCATTGACTTCAAACCCCAACAAATTTTGCTATATATATCAAATCACCTCTTACACCTTTTCAAATTGAAAAGAAGATATAGAATATTATTATTGTACTTCAATTGAAGGAATTTAAATCAATTAGAAAGGCTACAGAGTATTTTGAAGTTCCTAAATCAACTCTTATAGTTAGGGTTGCGGAAAGGAAATTATATATTTAATTCCATAAAATAACTCAAATTCTTTCAAATATAGAAGAAAATACTCTTATACAATAGATTTCATAATTTACTATTACTGAATTCCCTATTACACCTATATTAATGAAGAAAATAGTCAACAAAATTCATCTTCAATATATTCAGATTATATTATTTCGAATTCCTATTTTAATAGAAATTCCATTTATAGGCTATAAATGAATCTATAGATTCCAAAAACGATATTTAGAACTTAAAACATGTTACTCACATCAATTAAAATCTAATCAAACTAAAAAGGTAATACTAGAGAATATTCAAACTTGATTTGATATGTTTTGTACATATTTTATTAAATGAAAATATAAATTAAATGATATATATAATATAAACAAAACTGGATTTAAAGTTGAAAGTATTCAAAGTATATGTATTATAATTGATTTTACTCAAAAATTGAATTGAAAAGTTATAGTTAGTAAGCAAAAATAAATAACTATATTTGAATATATTAATATAACTAAAAAGGTTTTATCATCTATGATCATTTTCAAGGTTTAGAATATAAATTCTATAGGAATTCTAAAGGACATATCTTAAAACTAATAGTTCTTTACTAATACGAATAAATAAACCTTAAATAGTTATGGATTAGAATAATTAAAAAAAGTTTTCAAATTAGAATTCAAGAAAGTATTAGGTGATTGATTTTGACTTTTGATTATAAATAGTTATTTAAGTTATATTACAGGTAGTTTTATTACTTTTTATATAGAGAAGGATATCGATTTACTTATATTACCTCCTTATTACTCCCACTTACTTTAATTATTTGATATTGTAGTATATAAGCCAATAAAATGATATTATACTTTAAAGATCGATTAATATTTTTAAATTAATATAAAACGAATTTAAAGAGTTAAATAAATAGAACTCTTTCAAAATATTAGAGAAAAAGTATTGAATTCTTTTAATATTAAAGCTAGCTGGAGAGGAACTGATTTAATACCTTTTACCCCATGAAAAGTACTCGATTCATTATTATTTAACTCCTTTCAGTAATCTTCTATTCTATAAATAAAAACCTTTAATCAAGATCTAAACTTATCTATACTTAGAAACTTTTTTTCAAATAGAACAAAGCTAAGATAAACAAATTAGATCTTTAATAAAACTCTAGTAAATAATAATTCTCTTGTATCACCAATTTATTAATATACTAAGAAAATAATTAAACTTATAGAATCTCAAAATACTAAAATAGTCCTATTTCGGAAATAGTTCGTTAATATTTAGAAAGTAATTGAAACTTAAAAGAAGAAAATTAAAGATAAAAGAATTAAATTATAAGATCAATTTATCTTTAGTAATAAAAAAATACTAAAAATGATATATAAAATGAAAGAAAAATCTAAGAAGAAAAAGCTATGAGAACAATTATATAAACATTTAATTAAAGAATTAGAAGAAAAGATTGAAAAAAAAGAGCTAAAAAGTAATTTAAATAATTTAGAATTAAAATTGAATGAATATATAGTTCATAGAACAAAATCATATAAAGAGAATTGAATTTTGTAACCCAGTTTCCTATATAACCTGGTTCACTATAAGTTACATTATAAAAAGTGGCTCAAAAGAGAGGTGGCTCGAAAGTAGGGTACCCGACTTAGGTAATAAAACCATCTAGTACCTAGTATACACACACACACACACATCACCAATATGATCCTCCTCAAGCGAATACACATGCATGCATAAGTCTATAAGAAAGCAAACCAGGAGAAGAGAAGAAAAGAAACGAAATGAAGCAGAAGACTTTCGTACTTTCTTTGCCCAAAACCACCCCCCACCCCGAAAAAGAGGAAGAGGAGTGATATATTTCTTTCTGTAACCTAGGCAAATGAATACCTACTATACATGTACCCAAGTACACAAGTACCTACGTACCCACACAAACAAACAAACAAATTTCACCACCTTTTTTCACTCCAACCCACACAAAATAGAAAGTCAACTCCAATATCAATTATTCTAGAATCCAGAGCGAAACTTTCCTCCATTTTCCCATCGTTCCTCATAATGCTTTTAGAATACTCGAGCTAATCAGTACCCGTACTGTTTTAAGAAGACTTTCTGATCCCCCTCAAACTATCCTATCCTATCCTATAATACAAATCGAATCAACCGCCTGTCATCATTTCCAATTACCCCTCCCCTAGTAATCCCTCGGTAGACGAATCTACCAATTCATCAAATCTATTCAACAATTAGCCATCAATCATTCACTCCCACTATCTCAATCAAAACATACCTCTTCCGAAAAGTGTTCTCTTCGCCCAATCCATCGCCAACAAACACCTCGTTCTAAAGCTCACACTCTGTGCAAAATAGACACTTCTCCAAGCATATACTGCCCAGAGTCCTCCCGCAAAACTCCATCCGCCTCCAAGATCAAAGACGGCCGAATTACCTATATAAGCCAAACTACCCAAATGATGATATTCAAACGCTTTATAGACAGCCTCATCCAAATCTCCATCACGCATATCATTAACTCTCATTCCTGGTTCTGCTCTTGCCATTTTATTGAACTTGTGTCCTAGATATTGACCTTGTTGATGAGCTCTCTGGGCAGTAGCAGGGAGGGATGTAAGTTTACTATCGATTTGCATGAGGAGCGCTCTTAATTCGCCAAAATCGAGAGTACCGGATTGATCTTTATCGAATTCTTGAAAAAGTTTATCAACACGTTTGAGATGATCTGCAGCTTGAGGAAATCTCTTTCGGACTCTTTGTGCAACGTCTCGCCAGTCGCGGAATGTAAGTTGGACTTTCTCAGGATCTTGACCTTTTTCCCACGCGAGAGTTCGGAGGAAAGTAACCAAATGATCAGCAACGTTGTTTTGAACGGTTGCACAGTCACCAATTGCATAGACATCTCCTAATGGTGTACCATTTAGACGAAGATGTGTATCGGTTTCTAAAGCATGACGATTGGTCTGAGAGGAGCCAAGCGCTGCAGCGATTCTTTGGCAAAATTGGGTTTGAGAAACACCAGTAGACCAAAGACAAAATCCCATGGGCAATTCCTTGATGACCGATTCACCATTCTCTCCCTTTTGAGTAAAGAGAATTTTATCTGGTCTGACTTCCTGAACACGAGAATTGGTAAGGATATCCACCTGATCACGAGCGAATCTCTCCTCGGCGTATTTGGATACCGCTTCATCATAAGTATTCAGGATATGACCTCGACTCTGAATAACATGAACGGAGATCTCATTTCTGAGAATACGAGGAAAGTGTGCTGTAAGATCTTCATTTAAAAGATCGAACAATTCGGCAGCGAATTCTACTCCAGTAGGACCACCTCCACTAACAACGAAAGAAAGTAATCTCTTTCGTTCCTCGTCAGTTGTTGTTGGTAGACATGCGTATTCCAGATTGGTCAGAATCGAATTGCGAATCGTTTGAGCATCATCAATATCCTTCAAGAAATGACAATTTTCCAATCCCTTTACTCCGTGAGGATTTGTTGTTGATCCAACTCCAATAACCAATTTGTCATATGGTAGGTAGAATCGAACTTCTTTACCATCTGGACTTTTCCCAGCCAATTCTATCAACTTTTCCGAAAACTCAATGTCTTCTGCCGTAGCTCTTATGAAATGACCTTTCACTCTTGTAATAATCCGTCGAATCGGTTCCACCAAAGATCGAAATTCCAATGTGCCAACTGTTGCAGAAGGTAACATAGGTGTGAAGAGGAAGTAATTCGTAGGCGAAACCAAAGTGATATGATAATCATCTGGATTTAAAGTCTTCAACAACGCAACGCTTCCCCATCCACCTCCAAGAATGACCAATTTTGGCTTATCTTTCTGCTTTTGCATTTCTTCGGAATCATCATCGTCAATCTGAACTTCAGCAATGGGTAGATTCTTAGGACCTCCTAATCGTGGAGACAAAGCAAGCTCTGAGATTGAGATATCCGAGTATGATAAATCTTCACGATATGTCGTAGCATCATAGACGAAGAAACCAATAACGCCGAATCCCAAGACTATCAATGAACCTCCCAGCAAAGCTGCAGATCGATATAGAAAGTTTAAAGCTTTCGACTGTCGTTGTGGTAGAGGTTTACCGGATACGAATCGAACATTTCGTGTTATGGGAAGTTTGCCCCATTTCGATTGGGTTGTGAAAGCTGTTGGGGGTCTTTTTGAAGCCGTGGATAACTTTTGACCCGGCAGAGAACTAAAAGATAGTGCAGATCGACTGAGAGAAGAATATGGTGATCTGCGAAGTATTAAGGAATGATTGTTGCCAATTCTCCCAAGAGATGAGGCGGGTTGACGAAGGAGCATACTTGTGTATGTCATTAAACTTGCTGGTAACACTTTCTTTACTCAATTAATAACTGAAGCTCATAACTCAAATGAATACTAAGCAAGTAACGAATTAACAATTTGATATAGGAATTATTCTGGGTAGCTCAATTGAAGGTAAAAAGAAGGTATTCGTGTTAATGAATTTCTAGGTGTATGAAGCTTTTGCCAAGTTGTAGGGGAACGAGATTCTGGGCTTCTCTATTTCTCTGGCGAACTCACTTCAGTCCTCCCCACCATCACCCATCACCCATCACCCTCAGTCCGTCCGGCCCGTTCACGGAGTTCTCGGAGAATAGCCCCCACTAGATGCCGTAAAGATGGATGAATTTTTCTTGTTATACTTCGAGTGTAGAATGTGGAGATGGTAGTAGGTAAAGATGATTATGAAGGATCCAAAAGTGTTCTTTATTTTACTTCAAAGCGCTGCTTCAATTGAGAAGTATCTACGATAGGTAAATATTACTTCCATCAATGAATGAATGCATGAAATACACAATTTCGGAACAGCACAAAGTCTACAGGGAACATTATGTACATAGCAAGCTTTCAGGTGAACTTCATATTAATTGAATCCGATATCCGAATTCCTTATGTACTAATAGATAATGATTATTCCCATCGTTAAACGCCAATTGCATCCCACGACATTTGTGAAGGAGTTCTACCTGAAACAACTTCGAAAAGGGTATAATAATATTGGCAAGAACCCAAACGCCAAATATAACCAATTCAATGCCCCATCATGCCATCATCATTGCTTCATTCATTGTTTGTTGCGCATGGGATCCATCACCATGTATATTATCATGATCATCATTATCGAGACCCAGCTCGATGATAGGTGGTATCTCCTTTTTTGCAACCCGTGCAGTGTTCTCAGCCCAGACACGTAGGCGGACAAGATTTCTAATGGCCGCATCTCGACGTTTATTCTGAGATTGTAGTATAGCTTTGTTAACTTTATCTGCGACAGACCTTCGAAGGTCAGGGTGTATCAGAGTAGCTAGCTTTGGCTCCAGGTTATCAGGCGGAAAGACTAGTAGAGCCATTGTCCTTTCAAGGTCCTCTAAAAAGTCTGGATTGGTTGCAGCTCGAGGTGCAAGTTGATTCCTGGCGAAATTTATGACAGGAGCAACATCACTGCCGGAAGTCCGTATGAGCTCAACCAGTTGTAGTCGCAAGAGTGAGAAATGGAGGCCTGGATTATTTTCGAGAACCTTTTGATAATGTTAGAAATCATTCGATAATCAAATGAAGAAGAATGATGATTGGTTTGAAAGTTGCTCATACTGAGGACTGAAGTATGGTATTGTATCTCATCAACGACCCGAAGGCTATATGAGTGGTGCATGAACTTGTTTAATCATAGCAAGGAGAAGGGAAGAAAAACGGAATAGTACTAACCTGGGGATCCAACTCATTGACTGCATCGATAGCATCTTGTATGCTTCCCAGATGTATGAAATGCTGAATAGCTTGACGAGCTTTGACAAATTCTTCTGCTTGTTGTGGCTTGAGATTCGCTTCTTTAGAGAACCTTGCAGCTGCAGATGGATAACCTTCGGTGGTGAGATAATCTAATATCAAAGCATTGATGTCACTGTTTATGAATACAAATGTTAGCTCGGCTGCATATTATCAATTCATATCAGGCTGGCCGACAGCCAAATTGGTAAGAGTGGCAGTATATCAGGTAACAACTAATTTGTTCTCCGCATGCGTAATTTTTAGGAGAGATTCCCAGTTGATGATAGTCATCATATAAAGTTTGCCAATGATGGAGCTTCGATGAAGCACCGGGGTATGAAAGAGATATAATGCCTACCTTTTCATTGGCTTTACATTGTCGACACGCTTTTCAAATGCAGTATGTGAAAGTGGTCTCTCAAATGTATTAAGTCTTGAGGGTGTTGCGGTAGCTGTTGAAGAGGCCTATGGTTTGAATCAAGTCAGCTACTGATTGATATCTACAAAGCTATCAAGAGTATTTGTTACATACCATGCTTACAACACAGAAAATTATCTCTTGTCCATAAAAAGGTAGAAAACAATTGTAAGTGATCTTGAAGTGTCCAGCACTGGTACAATTAATATAAGTTTTTATTGGTGTGAATAATGAAAAGATGATGGTTGGTAAAAGAAAAAAAAAGAGGTTATTGGAAGAATGGAAAGGAAAGGAAAGCTTTGATTTGAGATTTAAAGCAGAAGTAGAAGCTTGCTCCAGAGTCTAAACCTTAATGGGCTAAGTTTCAGATGGCCTTACGTAAATATGCACGTGATCTATGAAAAAGACGACCGTAACCCCTCCTGCGCAAAAAGATGTAATGATTTAAGCGTACATAAGTAGAATTGCTTCTGTATATATTGTGCCGCCGTACTCAAATCGCTCACCTAGTCTTATATTCTTTTTCTCCTATTAACATGGATTGCTGAACTCTCCAGATACCTAGAACTACATAACATAATCAGCATTTTCCCCCACTTTCACAATGGCTATATGTGTGAAAGAACAAGCTCACTACTCTCCTCCATGGGCTGGAGTTAGTATCATAGGTATAGCTGGAAGTTCTGGATCGGGAAAATCTACTTTGTCTCATGCCATTATCTCTCAAATGAACTTGCCATGGGTTTGCATTCTCAGCATGGTAATTCTGTTTTCCCTCATTCCTATATCAATCAGCCCATTAATGATTGTGAAAAAAAAAAAGGATTCGTTTTATAAGTCTTTAGACGCGGAAGGATCACGAAAAGCGTTTTTAAATGAATATGACTTCGACTCACCGGATGCAATAGATTTCGATAGACTAGTCGAAATATTGCAAGACCTGAAAGCAGGGTAAGTGTTATCTACGATGCTACATCTGGAGAGGAGCGAATTCCATGTATTTCTACTGGATACATTGTCATATAATTAATTTTGTTGCTTAGAAAGAGAGCAGAGATCCCTATCTACTCATTTGCAAAGCATGCTCGAGAGAAGGAGACCACGTCAATTTATTCACCGCATGTACTCATATTGGAGGGGATTTTTGCATTATACGATCCTCGAGTTCTTGAATTGTTAGATATGAAGGTGATTGTCTTCTTCAGTTCAGCGAAGGAGTTGAATTTGGGAGGACTAACTTGTCTTAGGTGTTCTGTCAAGCAGATGGAGATACCTGTTTATCCCGGCGAAGTATGATTTCTCTATATTAAAAATGGATTTCAGGCAGCAAACAATAAGATCTGATTGCTTCTTTATGACTCAACTAATTTGAATTGCTAGTCCTGAGAGATGTCGCAGAAAGAGGTAGAGACATTGAAGGTGTTATAAAGCAATGGTTTGGATTCGTGAAGCCAAACTTTCAACGATATGTAGAGCCTCAGGGACAAGTTGCCGGTAAGATCTCACATGATGTACCACAAGATGAGCTTTAACGTTGATGTGCGGCTCCATCATGTTTCACGACAGACGCCTAATCCTTTGAACAGATATCATTGTGCCACGAGGTGTAGAAAATCGAGTTGCAATTAGTAAGTTCCATTTCCGTTTAATGCATCCTGCACTGTATTAATTTTGCGATAGATATGGTCGTACAATACATCCAACGAACATTAAAAGAAAAATCAATAGCCCACATTATGGCTTTGAAGAAATTGGGTTTGGGTGCTGAGGATGAGCCTCTATCTAAATCAGTTCTTCTTTTGGAGCAAACACCTCAATTCAAAGGCATGAATACCATCATCCAAGATATAGGAACTCCGGCAGAAGAATTTGTTTTTTACTTTGACCGGATTGCTACTTTACTCGTTGAGCAGTAAGTTATCATTTTATTTGTTTCATGGTATCGATTTTTTGGTATCATTTCTAACAAATCGTAGTGCTATGAACAATATATTCTTCACAGAAAAGATTGTTGAGACACCAATCGGTAACAAGTACCATGGTTTAATAGCTACGGGCGAAGTTAGTGCGGTTGTTGTCCTTCGGGCCGGAGGAGCTCTGGAGACTGGCTTAAAGCGGGTCATTCCAGATTGCAAAACTGGAAGACTACTGATTCAATCGAATATTCGAACGGGTGAACCCGAATTACATTTCTTAAAATTACCGGACAATATCAACAAACATGATAGTGTTTTGTTACTTGATCCACAAATGTCGAGTGGGGGAGCTGCACTTATGTCGGTTCAAATCCTTGTCGATCATGGAGTACCACCCGAGAAGATTGTATTTGTGACTTATACTGCAGGGAAAATGGGATTAAACCGACTTACAAAGGTCTTCCCTGAGGTTAAAGTTGTGGTATGCACGATAATTCAGGACTACGAGGAGAGGTGGATTGAAAAGAGGTATTTTGGATGTTGATCATGACGAGATGGTCAGTGATAGCTTGGTTTTGTGGTTAAATCAGCGACTCGCTAGTAAGTAGTATATAATATTCATCATAGGATCTTGATCCAAGACTTTAGTTCTGACCTTATGATTAGATGAACCAATGTTATGCTACTATCAACTCTTCTGCTACCAATAGTTCCAGGTACCAAGTAGACGTCGGTACTCGAACAAAGTTAATTTCCTAACGGTTTTCCATTCTGAGACTGGTATATAGTTCACCCCTTCTTGATATCTAACACCCCACAATATCAACTTGGGTGATAATTTGGAGTCGAGACAACCGATGAACGAAGAAAACAACTGGTAAATCACAACATGATTTTATGGATCGATTTCTCTTGCTTTCTGTTACATTCTACACTATACACTATGAATCATCATCCAGCCTTGGTACACCACCAAAACTTTCCTTTCCGTAAGATCTGGTTTAAAATGTGGCAATGGCTAGGATTCCATTATCACTATCTATTGTTCGAGCTCTAGTGTGAATGCTATGACACTGTTCATTTCCTTAAATCTCAATGCAGTTCCCGACTCTTTCCTCTCGTTTGCTTACTAGAAATATGGGGTTGTATTCAATCACCCAAACCATTGATACAAGTTGAAGTTGAGTGTTCGGTAGTGCGAGCCACATGTCAGCAGTCAAAAGCGTTGGAAAATTCAAATGCTTTTGAGTATTGAAAACATATTCAGTTATCGAGGTTATTGCAAAAGTTGAAACTATTTCAGTTATTAAAGTCATCCAAACATTGATATTATTTTCGAAAGTCATGTCAGATATCGGAATTGTTATAATTGTCGAATCCGTTTGAACCCATAACTGATAGGAATATTCTCTGAATACTAAAATTATGATGTGAAATTAGACGACACTACAGACCATTGGGAACGTGGAGTCGAGAAGATTGCTATGCTTTTGAGCTTTTGTTTGCTCACGCATAGTAAACAACAACCTTGATATCTAGATCCACCAAAGGTTAATTGACCAAATCACATATTAGTCTCTTGAATTTCTTCTTGGTATCTTATAATTGACGTATAGTGTGTCCTAGTTGAAGGAAACCAAGAAAGTTATTGCTTGTAGAGTTACTAGTAAGTCAAATTTGATCACCAGTGGAATTCTTTCTCATATAAATCTATCCCTCTTAATTTCAAGCTTTTATTCTTTTCTATCTTCTTACAATCCAGACCACGAGAGATTCGAAGTTCTTCTGACCTACTCTCTCCCAATTACAAGCATCGATCAAGATGCGTTGCAAACGCAATGCCCTCATTGCGGCTGCTGGACTTGCTTTAACTGTCAGTGCCCACTTCGAAAAACCAGACGATTATCTTCCGTCTGCTGTTGTCCCATCAGTTTCGACCCACTCATCCAACCTACCTCCAACTCATACACCTAGCTCAGATTCAACTCACTGGTCCCATGTTGTTCCAGTCAAAACTTCAACTCATCATTCTAGTGTAGCTACTGCTCATTCATCCAAATCACCGTTGATTTATTCATCATTGGCTTCGAGTCACTCGTCCAGCGAGCCTTGGACTCATCTATCAAATGTCTACCCTGTTGAAACTCCCACTGGTCATTCCAGTGTAGCTTCGATTCACTCCTCATTAGCTTCTAGTCACTCATCGAAGACCGCTTCCATCAAAAGTTCCGCCAGTCATTCTGGTAAAGATTCGATTCACTCTTCCCTGGCTCACCATCCTGATACGGGCCATAGCAAAAGTTCTGCTGGTCATTCTAGCAAAACTTCGGTTCACACTTCCTTAGCTTCAGCTCATCATTCCAACCCAATCCATAGCAAGATTTCTGCTATTCATTCTAGCAAAGCTTCGGCTCACACTTCCTTAGCTTCAGCTCATCATTCCAACCCAATCCATAGCAAGATTTCTGCTATTCATTCCAGCAAAGCTTCGGCTCACACTTCCTTAGCTTCAGCTCATCATTCCAATACAATGCATAGTAAAAGTTCTATTATACATTCCAGTTCAGCTTCAACCCATACATCATTGGCTTACAGTGATCATTTTCATGCGATCCCTAGTTCAAGTTCTGCCGATCATTTCAGTAAAGCTCCGAATTACGCGCCATTGCCTTCGAGTCATTCAAGTGTAACCTCAAGTCATCACTTCAACACAATCCACAGTATAAGTTCTCCTAGTCATTCTAGTAAAGCACCGACTCAGAAGTCTAAGCCTTCCAGCCACTCAGTCTTAACTTCGAGTCATCACTCAGATGCTACTACTGGTGAACATACTGTTGGTTATTCCAACGTCGCTCCGATTCACACACCCTTGAGTTCCAGTCACTCAACCTTGACTTCGAGTCATCATTCCCATGCAGGCCATGATTCAACTCCTAGCCATTCCAATGTGGCTTCGATTCACTCATCTCATGCGGAATCTGTTGCAACTTCTAGCCATACCGGCGTAGCTCCGATTCATACATCCTTAGCTTCCAAACACTCCACCTTATCTTCGAGTCATCACTCTGATCTGAGCCATGTTGCAACTCCTAGTTATTATGGATCAGTTCCAGTCCACACATCCTTGGCTTCGAGTCACTCGTCCCATGCAGAATCTATTGCAACTTCTCATCATTCTGGTGTAGATTCGATGCACTCATCTCATACAGACTCTCTTACGACTTCTAGTCATACTAGTACAGCCTCGGAATACTCATCTTATGCGGGTTCCGTTGCGACTTCTAGTCATACTAGTGTAGCTTCCGGACACTCAGCTCCCCACTCATCCTACCCGTCTCACTCATCTCACTCATCCCAATTGGAATCCACTTCCACTCTTCATTCGGTATATCCGTCTAGTGTGGCCTCGGCTTATCATACCAGCCTTGCTTCGAGCTATTCATCTCATATCGTCCATAGTACAATTTCCGCTATCCATTCCAGTGTAGCTTCAGTGCCTCAATCTACCTCGACTTCCTCTATTCATTCTGATACGCATTCTGCGCATTCATCTCAACAAACCTCTGATATCCATTCTAGTATATACTCGGCTCATGTATCCAGCTTGGCCTCTTTTCATTCTAGCGTACATTCCGCGCATGGATCCAGCTTTACTTCCGTTTTACATTCTAGCACGGCTTCTGCGCATTTATCTAATCAAGCCTCTACTATTCACTCCAGTGTGGCTTCGGTGCATCCATCCAGCTTAACTTCCGCTTCGCATTCTATTGTAGCTTCAGTTCATTCCAGTTCAGCCTCAGTGCATTCATCCAGCCTGAGCTCTGTTGCTGATTCTAGCGGACCATCAATTTATTCAACTAAACCATCGGTCCATTCATCAAGCTTAACTTCTGCTTTACATTCTAGTATGACTTCTGTTCATTCTAGTATACCTTCAGGTCATTCCAGTGGACCATCAATTCATTCTAGTGGATTATCAGTTTATCAATGGAACTCGGCCTCTTTCCATTCTAGTATGACTTCTGCTCATTCTAGTATACATTCGGTTCATTCCAGTAAACCATTAGTTCATCCATCAAGCTCGAGCTCTTTACATTCTAGTATAGCTTCCCATCATTCTAGTGGACATCCGGTCCATCCATCAAACACAGCTTCTCATCATTCTAGTGGACATCCGGTCCATCCATCAAACACAGCTTCTCATCATTCTAGTGGACATCCGGTCCATCCATCAAGTACAGCTTCTTATCATTCTGGTGTGGCTTCAGTTCATTCTAGTGGACATCCGGTACATCCATCAAGCACGGCTTCTCATCATTCCAGTATGGCTTCAGTCCATTCTAGTGAGCAATCGATTCATCCATTAAGCTCGATGCCTCTATATTATGATGCACCTTCGGCCCATTCTAGTATGCCTTCGGTTCATAACAGTGAACTACATCCAAGTGAACCATCTGGTCATCCATCAGCCTTGACTTCCGTTGTTCATTCTTTGTCAACTTCGGATTTGTCATCTTATATGATACCAGTGGAATCTTCAGTTCATTCGTCCAGTTATGTTCCAGTTAAAACCTCCACTCTTCATTCTGTAGCTTCGGACTTGCCATCGTATACTGTTCCAAAAGTCTCTTCAACTGAAATTTCTAGCACATCAAGGGTTTCTTCTGACATGAACTCAGTCCCTGTCCCAACTTCTACCCATTCATCTGATATTTTCACAGGATTTTCTTCGACGATGAAGTCATCGATTACTAACCCGGGTATCAGTCACCCATCCAGTGTAGAATCACCACACATAACCCCGGCCTCCTCCACTCATGAATCCTCCACTCATGGCCCCTCTGCTTATGGTTCCTCCACTTCTGGTCCTCATACTACTGAATCCACTATCCCGGGTACCAGAATGTCGGTGCCAACCGACTCTGTACCACCTACATGGTCATCAAGTGTTGTTACTTCTCAAACCAGTTCTGTCACGATTTATACCAAGCCACAAACTTCGAAGTCAAGTATTGTTAATTATGGCCCTAGCGAAACCGGCGGCTCCGTACCAGATGATATCACCACACAGACCTCAAAGTCTTCTACTATTTCCTCAATTGCTTCATCTAGTCAAAGCAGTATTGAATCTGTCGGGTCCACAAAGACAGATGGATGGACTTATTATACACACTCCTCATCACCTAGCAAGACTACAAGTGAAATTGAGAATGAGAAATCCAAAACTACCTCTTCACTAAGTCTTTCAGCATCTAATGGAGCCTCTCAATATGGATCATTTACTTCCGACTCATCTCCAAGTACTTCGGCCAAATCAACAGAAACCGATAGCACAGTTCCAGCTGGAATTTCTTCTACCTCATCCGACTCCTTGGTCTCCAAAACCCCTTATATCTCAACCTTCTCATCGATTCCAATGTCTTCCACTTCATCTGCCGATTCTTCACAATCTAAATGGACTGATACCACAACTGAAATTGGAGCTTCTTCAACCTTATCAAGCTCTTCTGATAGAATTACTCATACTCCAATACTCTCACCTATTCATGAATTTCCACCCACTTCATCGACCCATAAAGGTCCATGTATAGCTAGTCATGGAGGTCCATGTGACCCATTCATTCATGGAGGACCATACACCTCCTTGGCACATAATTCTTCTTCAACACATGGTATCTCTTCGATGACACACAGTGTAACTTCAGGACATGATATTCATTCAACATTACACAGTGCATCTTCTACAGATAGCGTATTCTCCACACGTTCTTCCGCAAATAGTGCCTCTTCTACACATGGTACTCCTTGGATGCACACTGTCCACCCGACGCTTAGTGCCTCCTCTAAGTATGATATCCATTTGACGCACAACATCTCATCCAATCATGCTTCCACACACATTGCCTCTTCGGAGCATGAGGTTCATTCGACATATAGTGCCTCTTCCACACATGCTTTCACCTACAATGTTGTCTCTTCTACACACGGTATCCCTTCGACAACACACAGTGCCTCTAAACATATCCCTACTTATAGTGTCTCTTCGGAGCATGATATTCATTTGATGTACAGTGTCTCCTCCACACATGCTTCCACCTACAGTACCATCTCCACACATAGTGTTCCTTCTACACACGATATCCCTTCGACAACACACAGTGCCCCTTCGAAACATACTCCAACCCATAATATCTCTTCGGAGCACGATTTCCATTCGGTGTACAGTGTCTCTTCGAAACATACTTCCACTTATAGTGTCTCTTCCACACATGAAACCCCTTCAATGCACAGTGTCTACAGGACGCATAGCGTATCTTCCACCAATGCTGCCCCTTCGGTGCACAGTACCTCTTCGACGCATGACTCCATGCATAGTGTATCTTCCACAAATGGTCGCCCTCCCATGTATGCTTCGACAAATAGTGTATCTTCCGAGTACGATATACATTCGACCTATAGTTCCTCTTCCGCGCAATCTTCCACACATACTTCCTCGAATGGTATCCCTTCGACGCACGTCGTGTCTTCAACACACAAGATCTCTTCCACCAAATCAACTTTATATACACCTTCCACTTCATTTATACATGAAACGCCTATTTCATCAACTCATAGTGGTCCATGTACATCATCTATCCATGGAGGTTCATGTAGCACATTAATTCTTACCGTTACTTCCACCTTGATAACCTCCTCTGCACCTTCCACTTCTTCTATTCATGAGGTTCCATCCGTTCCATATACCCACGGTAGCTCATGTATTCCACACATTCATGGAGGCTCGTGTACCAAATCTGTCCATGAGATCACTTCTACTACATCAACTACACCTACGCCTCCCGCCTCTTCTATCCACGAAGTACCACCCACTCCATCTGCTCATGATAGTTCATGTATTCCACATATCCATGGAGGTTCATGCACCCAACCCATTCATGTTACTTCAACTTTATTAAAACCTTCAACCTCTTCTATTCATGAAGTCCCACCTGTTTCTACCCATGAAATCTCATGCATTCCACATATCCATGGAGATTCATGCACCAAGTCTATCCATGTTTCTTCTTCTACTCCATCAACTTCATCCAAACCTTCAATCTCTTCTGTTCATGAAGTCCCACCTGTCCCTACACATGAGAGTTCACCTCCTCATTATGGTCCATGCATTCCTCACGTCCATGGAGATTCATGTATCAAGTCCTCCATCACTCCACACCAAGGCTCATCCACTTCGTTATCAGCCCCTGCCAGTTCCAAAACTACCTCCGCCTTACCATCTGCATACACAGTAAAACCAGGTGATGTTTTTTTCAGCATTGCACACGATAAAGGAATCCCATTGGCTACTCTCGAGGATTTGAATCCACAAATCACAAACCCAGATTTACTACGACCTGGAGAGATTATCAACCTTAAACCTCATACTACATCCTCACCAAGTACATATACTGTCACAAAAGGAGATAGTCTGTATAGCATATCCAACGGATTAGGAATTCCATTGGCTGAACTCGAAGCCGCAAACCCACAAATTTCTAACGCTGAATTGATTCAACCTGGACAGGTGATCAAACTCCCCTCTCACGGCGCTACCGTTATCGTAAAGCCAGGAGATACTCTCAGTTCTTTGGCCGCCGCAAACAAAGTTTCGCTCCAAGCCTTGGAAGCCGCCAATCCAGGTATCCATGACTACAATTCCATTGCTCCAGGTCAAACCATAAACATCCCGCCAAGCAAAGTTTCTCGCAGTAAAGAACATACACACGTTGTTAAACCAGGAGATACACTCACCAAAATCGCCGATGCCAATGGTGTTACTCTCCACGCTTTGAAAGCCGCCAATCCAGACATCATTATGGTCAACTCACTCTGGCCTGGCGAGACTGTGAAGATCCCTAGCACTGGTGGAGACAACTACAGAACTTACAGTGTTAAATACAAAGATACCTTTATTGATTTGGCGGATAAGTTTGGAGTTTCCATGAAAGATCTTCAACATGTCAATTCACATATCCAGGATGTTGAACAGATCAAACCAGGAGACGTCATTAATATTCCTGAGCACAAGCCAAAGTCAAAGAGAGGACTTAAAAGTGCTAAGTCCAGATCTTCATTTTAATGGTATGATTGATGTTTCATGAAGAGGTATGTTTGATCAATCTATTTTCACGATTTTGACGTTTCCGAGCAATTACTGATACTATTTCTTTGCCTAGATGGACGAATAATGACTGAAATGTCTCAATCTTAATTACGCTCGCATTTTCCATCCTTCATAAAGAGAGACACCGCCATATCTCGACTACCCAAAATATTCCACTCCCAAAAGCTATTTCGTTTTCAAAATTTTTCCAATTCTATTTTTTCCAGAGAGTGCGACGGGAGGCAACTTGGACATGGTTAGCGAAGCTCACCCTTTTCCCTCTTCTATTCCTAGAATTAGACTTGTGGTAGACAAAAGCGCGGCCTTTTTATTTTCAGTTCTTGTACCAGAGTGTGCGACAGATACTGTGAATATTTTATATGTTAATTGGCCTTTTTGCTTACCGCCTGTTACACCACTCTTTTTGGATTTATGAACCCCGTCTCTCGAGGTGGATACCTTATAATTTTTATATATGGACAACAATACTCTCCTTAATTATACATTTTTCTATTTCATTGCGCGCCGCTGATCTACCCTTCAATCTGAGTGACTATTTCGGCTCGCATATGTGAGATATTTCACTCAAGAAGTGACACAAGGACAATACATTTGTGTTTCAAAGAGCCACGAGGCAAATTTGCCCCAGGAGCAAAATAATCCCATTGCCATAGAGTACCACGTCACACATCACACATTCTCCACTTCCCGTTTCGAAATCCATCATCACCAAAGAGAAGAAATAACCGACTAATATTACTCAGGGGTTAGACTCTTTGATCAACAAGCTTAAGGTTACCATCAGATGATCAAAAACTAAAACTAGCTCGCTAATTAGCGAGAGACCTACACTACAGTATACTCTGTCGGGAAAGCTAAGATTAATGGGCTTCAGATGAACGCGATACGTCACATATCAATTCGCGTTTCTTAACAAGCAAGGTGGTTAATGGTATATGAAATCTGGATTCCAATATTGAGAGTTTTTGATTGTTCACTCCTATTGAGAGATTGAAAGTATCGAATTGTTCAAGTTGGATTGATGGATTGAAAGTTTTTGATTATTAGATTAGAATCAATTCATAGAAAGGTGTTGAATAGGACTCACTCAACATGTTAAATCCAATTCTAGATATTATATTGCTCCACTTCAATATCATATCAATATACAAACATCTCTTTGATACTCTATCTACTCTGTAAAAGAAATTCCTCTATCGCCTACCAGAGTGTACAAACATCAACACATACAAACATACTAAACCCAACGTCATAGGTCCGAGCTCCCTCCCCAAAATTAAGCTTTCCAATCCTCACCTCCCAAACCCCAAACCCCAAACCTCAAACCCCAAACCTCCAAAAACACCCACCTCACCCCTCACCCTAGCTCCAACCACACCACAAAAAATGTCATCTCTCATCCCCAAGCACCTCCCACGCACTCTCCTCCGCGCATCCGCCAATCTTTCTCCGTTACGCACTATCAGTTCCCATACGCAACGAACTCTCACAGCGGGATTCTCTACACAGACACCAGTTCCAAAACCCACTTCTGCACAATTTCCACAGCGCACATCAATACGCCCCCTTTCACCACCGCAAAGTTCTCACTTCAGAAAGAGAAACTACGCAACCGCCACCCCCGCAGACGCAATAATCGAAGATCTAACGGAACAATATGGCGTTGCGCGTGATGAATTTGAGGTTTGTTTTCCCCCTCCTTCCCCTCCCCTCCCCTCCTCCCCCCTCAACCAAAAACCTAACTGACCCCCCCCTCTCCAACCCAAAAGATAGCAAGCGAAGAAACCGACAAACACTCCGTCTACGCGGAAGCCGACCGCGCCGCTGCAGTCGAAGAATTGCAGAAATTGAAAGATATGTATGACGCTGCGATTGAGGGGGAATACGGAGAGGAAATTAAGCGACGCGTGGGATCGAGGGTGAGGGAGTTGGAGCAGGGGGTTAGGGCGTTGGAGGAGAGAGCGTTGGAGGATCATTAGATGGGATTGGATTGGATTTGTGGAGGTGGGGAGGGGGAGTTTGAGGACTTGGGATGGGATTTGAGCGAGCAAGCATAAGGAAAACTTTCATGGTGGATTCTTGGTTTGGGGATTGAGAAAAGAGGAGGAGGTTATCATGGCATCGGAATTGGAATTGCGGATACCAAAATTATTGCATAGAGGAGGTGGCAGATATTATAGGAGGTTTGAATGAGCGACGAATATACTTGCCCTTCACTAGTTGTCATTGTTCATGATGGAAGACACATTAGCCCACCACATGCTTTTTTAGATATTGATGCGTGCTGGGTGCAAAAATATATCAATGTTAGGGTAGGTCATGATGCCTGAAGAGCTCACCAGAGACAAGACAATTTATTAAATCAGTCAATTCATACCATTCAAAAAAGTCAAGTGGTTTTAAATATTTATGCTTATTATCATTATTGCGCTAAAGTAAAAGGGGGTATTTCATGAAAAGAAAACAGCCACAGAAAAGATTAAAAACTTGTAACCCATAATGAGTCCTCCCTCCACCCAATCCCTTGCCTAGTATTATCCTTCCCACGTGTTCATCAATGTACCAATATCAGAGAGCATTTGATAGATGCCTCATGATAATCTCTTCGAAGTCAGTTTGCTCGAGTGTATTCTCAATACATCTTGGTTGAATCGACCCTACAGTGGCGTGACAGCTGTGTGTTTATGCGCGCGAAGGACCTTAAAAGAAAGGAAATTGAAAGTAGTAATCTTACATCCAACAGAACAATCATACAGAAAAATGGTATGTGCGTACTTTTCAAACAAGAATTTAGCGATAGTGTTGCTATAATTCATCTGAGCTTTCTGATCTAGGGGTAAGTTCAGTTCCATAGTGAGTACCGACTTCAACTTTTTCGTTATCGCTTTCGCTTTCGTCACTAACATTGCTGTCGTCTGGCTCATCTTCGTCTTCAACGTCCTCTTCAGCATCCTCAATATCCTCGTCGCTTATGAATTCTCCATCTGGACTTTGCTCGTCGTTTTCGTTTTCGTCTGCGTTCTCATCAACCTCAACCTCCACTTCTTCCTCTTCTTCCTCATCATATTCTGACATTGATGGGCGATCATCCTCAAATTCTTCTTGCTCTTCTTCTTCGCCCTCAATAATCTCCACTCTTTCATACTCCTCGATGGACTCCATAACATTATCTTCTTCGTCTTCTTCCATCTTGATTTCGTTCATTTGTTGCTCAAGTCTCGAAAGCTCTTCCTGACGTTGACGCTCCTTCTCTCGCTCTAGTTTTTTTGCCTCTTTCTGCAATCTCTTTTCCCTCGCGCGCACTGATTCTAATTCGTCTTCGGGACACGAATCTGGTTCCGGCGGGTCATCGTCCTCCAACGTATCAACGATTGACATCATATATCTTTGTGCAATTTTGGCCACTATAGCAACAGATATAGCATGCCAAAAATGCTTGCTTGTGTCTAAGAAATCACAAACGTGAATATCTCTAATCTTTGCTTGTGGATCCGATGAGTCGAGTGTAACGAAAAGAGCTTTGGCTTGTATGTAGAGGATTCCATAAATAAGAGGAGGACGTCGAAAGTATATTTCTGTCTCGCCAAACTCATTGACAATAGGCGAAGGGCGTCGTAAAGTCCGACGCCATGATTCAGCATGAAAATTCATCTGATCTTTGAGGCGTTTGGTCGTTTCTGCAGCGGGCGCGCGCCATCGACCTTCGACAAGGCACAGAACTGGAATAAACTTCTTCTTATAATACCCTCCATCCCTCTCAGTCCATTCGACATATTTGCCAATCCATTGCCGCATCTGTGCTTCAGGTGGGCCAGATCCACCATAGTATCTATCATGTACGCGGCGAGGTAGGTAATGGACGAGGAATTCTAACATTTGGATGGCTGTGGAACGATTAGTCTGGAGTAATCAATGAACTTTTCTAGAAGAACTTACATTTGCTACTCTCACCCAAGAGGGCATTATCATCAGGGCAAAACATAGCCTCAGGAACCGTCCGAAAATTCCGCTCCTTTGCCCAGTGCGGCAAAAGTCCTTCGTGGCCCATGTATTGAAGTCTTTCCAATAGAAAAAGTTCTTCGGGAGACCATTCGCCATCCGCTCGAGCTCTTTCTACCGTCTCTTTTGCCATAGCAAATTCCGCAGCCTGCTTTGCAAGATATTCATCTACTTTTTGCTGGGCAGAAATTTGATCCTCTTCCTCTCCATCATCTTCGTCTTCATCCATGTAATCTGGAGTCTCCGATTCTTCACCACTCTCAGTGACGTTGTGCGAAGAAGCTTGCTTTGGTGAGATTTCATCTCCTGAAAATACAAGACCTTCAACTTCATCATCTTCGCGAGGACGTTTGAGGGGATTTCTTGTAGGTGTCGTTCTATCTTCCTTCGAAACATAGTTTTGGTTCATGCGAGTATGTGCGAAGTTGAGAGATCTCCTATCGTTTTGTGGTTCAGACACAAATTGGTGTTCGTCGTCGAATTCGATGCAACCCGGTGTTTGAGGTCCCCCCATTGTTCTACGACGTTTCGCGACGGGAGAAAGGTAATTAACGACCGCATCTTTGATTTTGGAAATTTGATCCATTTTGAGATCGAATGAATCAGAGAGTGATTGGATGTTGTTGTAATATTCTTTGTTGTAGGTCTTGTTGTTAGATCGAGTCGCGTTTGTATTGAATTGAGTCTCCTATTTCAACTCAAGGCTGAGGGTCTTTGATTGTTGCGAATTACTCCTGATCGGCATTAGAGCTGCAGAAGCTCGATTTTAAAAGAATGTATGCGTTGAACCTTTAAGATGATGACTTTGTAAAAACAATTTTTGTTATTGAAGATATTAATTACATGGGTGATTTGAAAGATTTCGATGTTGATTATGTCGACAATGCTTTATTAACTTAACAAATAAATAATTCTTTTCAGCCTTAGGAACCTTGGAAATTATGGTGAGAAAGTCCGGGGTAACACAATTACAATTTCGGGATCATCAATGCCCAGGTGTTCCCCACTTGCCGCATGTAGCTAGTTGTGGCTGCTTTTCAGGTGCGGCGACAGGAACGCTATCACGTGCCTCAGACTATTTCGTGGCACACTGTTTGAATATTATAAATTTCATCAAATCGACATCTATAAGATCAGGAAATTGATTGGAAGTTGTCCAATCCAAAGTGGCAGGTTCTACAGTCTTGAATCAGCAACAGACTATCCACCGAGTCTCAAAATAGTATGTTCCTTCACGACAAGAAGAAACTGAGCTGTACACCACTGATTTATTATTAACTGCTGAAGCCTTAGATGAAGTCCACGAATCGCTCAAAGTACAGTATCTTCTTTTACTAGTATCACTCGATCCGTTGAACTCAAGCATGTGGTATATTGATTTTCTTCACAAATTACAAAATGGAGATTGTTTCTACTTATTGATCACTTTATATCCATATCCGAATTCCCCCTACCCTTCTCTCGGCCACCTGGGCATTTATTGCTTATGTGGCGAAAGAGGCTTAGATGGTTGAATATGATCAGTTACACCAGCTGACTTCATCAACCATACATCACCTGGACTCTTCACTCCGTTTGGACCTCCCAAGAAATTAAGAGGGAATCCGATATCAAACGCGTTTGACTCTTCAATCTGTTTAATATCATCATCACTCAGCTCCAACGATAAGGCTTCAATGTTTCCCTTCAGATGCTCAATCTTCCTTCCGCCAACGATTGGGAATACGTATTTCGCCTTTCTCAACACATATGCCAGTGCTACACTAGTAATTATGGTCTTCTTCTCATTGGCAATCTTCTCAAGAACCTTAGATATCTTGATGGCAGCCTCGGTTGGTTCCCACATCTTTCGTCCTTCGTCGGATTTGCGTTGCTCGTCGCTTTTGAAGTGACCACCTCCCAATGCACCCCAAGGAGCTAATCCCATCCCTTCATCAGCAGCCATATCGATGATGTCACGCTCGAAATCACGGTTCTCGGCAGACCAGCGTCCTTGATACACTGAGAATTGACGGAATCCATGATCACGAGCATATTGGTTGCATTTCGATACAACCCAAGCTGGTGTATCTGAAATTCCAAGGTATAGATAGAACTTTTCCGGACAAGACCAATGCGTTCAATGATTGCATGAGTTCTGGAATCGAGCAAGTGAAGTCCCACCAATGAACATACAGAAGGTCGATGTAAGAGGTTCTCAGCTTCTTTAAACTTGCTTCAAGAGATAAATGGAGAGATTTTGTTCCGTTTCCAGTAGTATTGATCAAAATTTCTTTGTCGCCATGTCCAGCTCGGTAACAAGTTGTGAACTTTGTGGCGATAACCAGTTGGTCTCGAATTCCACGCTTTTCAGCCCATTCACCAATCCATTCCTCGGACTCTTCGGCTTGATAATTGTTGGCGGTATCAATGAAGTTTCCGCCAGACTCATAGAAGAAATCCAAGATCTCCTCGGATTGTTTTTGATCGCAAGCTCCCATGAAGCTCTCCCCTTTTTAGTGTTAGTGACTATCAAACCGAGCCTTTATGAATTATACTCACATGCGTTTCCAAAGTTCATTGCTCCCAAGCATAGAGGGCTCACTCTAACTGATGCTGTGGGTGAAAGCATTCTATAGTGACCAAGAGCGGTCTTTGGGGCTGGGGGTGGAGCGAAAGCCATTTTGTTTATTTATTAAAATGTGTCTAGATAAAAAGAGACGGTTTCAATTGAGGGTAAAAGATATATAATAATAAGTGTTGATCTAGGGATTTTGAGATCGAATGAGAGGGTGAATGAGGACATTTTATATCTGGCTACAATGCTATGATCTCATTCTTGAAAGATACCATTCCTAATCATTCCCCGCATTCATACTCATTGAAAGAGCTTCGGTCCTTAACACCGACCAAGGCATACAAATAAGTCCCATAATTTGACCTGGAGTTAAGTTATCTGCGAGAATCGACGGCAGTTACTAGATTTTGTGTTGACAAAACTTGGACGTTCGCCAATGTTATCGATAATTACATTTCGGCCGAAATGCAAATTATGCACTGCGGCCATTGCGTTGCCCTGCATCCCTTTCCCCCGCCGTTAATCCCGACAGCCACGGATCTTTCCGTTGGAATATATAATATCCATATGATCGGTCCAAGTCCCCTTCATTCAGTCAAACACCTAACCACATCAGTGACTGAACGCAGTTGATACTGGAAGACGATGCGATAATCTAGGTAATGTATACCATACACGCATGCCACTGCGGTTATGAAAGGCCACCTCATCCTTTTGGTGTTGGTGACGCTTATGATACAGCACTCCTGCTACTAGGTAAGTAAACAAGCACCTGTGTTCTTGTACTTATGGAACCTTTGACTCTACATGCTTCTTAACCACACCTGCAACGGTACTAGGTCCATGATTCTATAGTTCTTGGATGGAACTACAGCTCGCTCACTCTATATTCTGCATCTGCTCAGTCTTCAGCGGTATCACGGGGACCCTCTATCACGTGTTAGAGGCTTCTTTTCAATGTCCCTAGCCATGATTTGGCAATCACCCATACAATGACTAACAACAAGAGCAACGGTCTCAGTTCCTGATCAAGTATATCAAGTTTGAGTTTAGTGCAATTTAGAACAAGTATGATGGAATCATCGAGCAGTGCCTGAGTTGTGAACTCCTACATTTGCTTTTCCGTCTGATCATCACGAACATTCTTTTATTTTCAATACTTCCAGCATCCTTTTCCTTCCTCCAGTCCCACTCAAAGCGAATATCATGCCTTGTTATGTGTTTTCCAAATACATTGATCTTCTCATTATTTATTCTGCATCACGTGGAATATTCACTACCTATATCGGAGGTTAAACTATCCCCTTGGCATCGGAACTGACCGATTCTCGAATAGAAATGCTTGAAAAGTCTAAATATTTCTCCACTTTCTCACACCTTTTTCCACTGTGCACCGCTCTTCTTCAGTTGTCAATTCCATACATCTTTATATCATCAAGTCGACTCTGGTATCCTTACTGTTATAAGATTTCACCATAAGGTGTAGCATATGACACAGGGAGAGAAAACCGATGCAGAGGACAGCTGCTTAAAAAACCCAGGCGTCTTTACACCTAGTGTAAACGATTGTTCTCAAATTAAAAATCTCGAAAAATCTGGGGTAAATTCGATTTTACCTAAATTGGAGGGGGTGGACGACAACAACAACAACGCAGAGGGCCCTATAACTTTCAACGAGAATCTTGAAAAGGGTGTTGTTCAGAATGGTTCCGAACAACCATGTGATGGAACTTCAATTTCAGATGATGAAAAGGATAACTTTCCCGACGGCGGTTTGAAGGGTTGGTCCGTCGTAGTGGGATCGTTCTGTGGCTCATTTGCAGTCTTTGGAATCCTCAATTGCAGTGGTATCTTGTTGGACTACTTCTCCACTCATCAATTGCAGGGATATGCCACTGGTGATGTTGGATGGATCTTTGGAGTATCACTCTTCTTGACCTTCTTGGGTGGTACACCAGTTGGTCCAATATTCGATGCATATGGCCCCAGAGTCTTGATCTTCTGTGGGAGTATCTTGTTGGTTTTGTCCATGATGTTGCTTGGATTATGCGGTGGTAAGTTACACTGATGTCTGCAAAACTTTATCTATATTCTACCTTACTAATTGTTCCAGAATATTGGCAGATTTTCATAGTATATAGTGTTCTCAATGGCATTGGTGGAGCCATGGTGAATACTCCATGTATTTCTTCAATCGCTCAATACTTTCAAGCAAAGAGAGCTTTTGCTACTGGTATTGCAATGACTGCTGGAAGTGTTGGTGGAGTTGTAATCCCTCTCATGCTTCAACGCCTCTTTCCCACCATCGGTTTTGCATGGGCAACACGGATATTGGGATTCATCCTTTTTGTGCTCCTCATATTAACAAACCTCCTCGTTACTAGTCGTATTCCCAAGAAGCCACTTCCTAGCATGAAGAGTATTCTTCCGTATTGGCCCGCGTTCAAGGAGCCGTCTTTCGTCTTCCTTACCATAGCGATCTTCCTTCTTGAATGGGGCATTTTTGTTCCTCTGACATACATCACACCATATGTTGTCGCAAATGGCCAATCAACATCATTTGGTTTCTACATAGTTTCCATTCTCAATGCTGGTTCATTTGTCGGCAGATTGGGAGCAGGCTATGTGGCCGATCGCCTTGGTTATGTGAATACACTCATTGTCTCTGTCGCTTTGTGCGTAGTAACATGCATAGCACTGTGGCTACCAGCTGGAGACTCCCAAGCTGTAGCCCTTGTTTTCGCTGTATTATTTGGACTTGTTAGTGGTAGCAACCTTAGTCTGAGTCCAGTATGCGTTGGGCAGCTGTGTGGTGTTGAAAAATTCGGTACTTACTATTCTACATGTTGGATGATAGTTTCATTTGGCACATTGACTGGATTGCCTATTGCTGGACAGATCCTGACGGCTAGCGGAGGTGACTATACATGGTTGATTGTTTTTGCCGGACTCTCCTATGCACTGGCTGGGACCTTCCTCGTTGCTGCAAAAGTTGCAAAGCTCGGGTGGTCAATTACTAAGAAATACTGATGAGACTGAATGGTTTATGATGCAGATGATTGTCCATCTTGTATTTTCCCTCTAGAAGTTTACACAGCTACCTAGTAAGATATCTTCTATCTGAGTGGGAAAACGGTATAGGACAAACGACCTCGTTTTGGTACAATCATCTCGACAATTTTATTTCTTGACGCTCTTTCCGCATATATTCGCACACAGTTACATTCTTACAACATTGAAAAAGAACTGGATTAAACGATAGGATGAATCCAGATTGTCAGGCTAGACATACTAAATAGGGAGGATTTAGCGAGTTATTTGTAGTACCTATCTAATGGATCTGTCTATCTCACTTTCCCTCTTCACACATATCTTAAATATGCAGCATATGTAGCAATATTACACACTCATTTATATCTCGATCTCTATCTCTATTTTCACCGTGTTGCAATATGCTTCGCCTCTCATACATCACGTTTTTAATTCCTTTCACATACCATTTGATGGGGAAAGTAAGTAAATGCATGTGCTTGTCTGAAGGCATTCGATTCCTCATCGCTTGAGAAGAAACAACCTACCTAAGTTCACTCGCCACATTTCATTCCGTTCCCTACGGATTAAATGCAATCGAATGGAATCAAATCACATCACACCAGCTTCATCTTCACCTTCACCTTCATCTAATTTCGCAAATACGACTCCAGAAGGTATTCGAAGATCTAAAAGATCTGAGGAGAAGATTGCGCTGGAAAACTTCTTGGTTCCTCTAGGTATATACTGACCTATCTACATGGTAATTCGATACAGTTGGTCCCGTCGAAATACCATCCCATTATTCATTCCAATCATAGCTAGATACCTTACTACCTACCTACCTACCCACCTACCTACCTACCCACCTACCTACCTATCAACAGCCACTAATATCTCCTCAAGCATACCCAACATCCAACATCTAACATCCAACAGAGATTGTAAGCAAGAGATACAGGCAAAAGGTGAAAAGGTAAAAAGGTAGAAAGACATCTAGGACCCTACCCAATCTCTCTCTATCTCTATACACGTAAGAAATTGCATCTACCCAGTGCCTAACTCATCCAATTAAGCGTACGAATACTCGCTCATCTTCAACCAACATCTATGTGAAGAATAATGCAATGATATCACATACATATTCCATACCAATGTCTCAAATCCCACCCCGTTAAGAAAAGCCTTTGCCGAGACAGGATGGCTTGATGACTTTTCTAACGGACACATCATGTAGGTAAGATTTGGCCTCCGCTCCTTCATTTCACAACCAACAACATTTTTGAACACATGGACTACTAATTGTTTATTGCACATAACTTGCAAAGACGGTGCCAACAAATATAAAATCCACTTTTGTATTATTCAGTGATTTATTTTCAGAGCCAGAAGTGACCTTGCCAGATCGTTGAACCATTTACTTCCCATCCTGATGTGCATCGTTTTGTAGTCATCGACTCCAGATGTTTTCCTATTTTTTCCCTTGAATCTTTCCCCTAATTAACTGCTCTATTCTGTGAAACCCCACCATGCAATCATATTTCTGCTCGTACCTCATAAAATCGCATATCCATGCAAATCACCATCCGCCCTATCAATGTCGATATGAAGAGCATTTGAAATTTGACAGGCTTTGCCAGCCGCAAGAGGAAGAATCAGACTCCCCTAGAAATGAACTATGAAGCCAAATGAAGCTCAGCATCACCATGTGCTTTAATCGTCCACGCAATAAATATCAAATTTGATATATTAGACACGATCTACCTCATTGGCAGCATCTTTCGCAATCGCATCCATAACTTTCTCCTCAGCATCAGGGTCATCCTCGGTTGGTGGTGGTCTCTCATTAGGAACTAGCAATTGTTAGCACAATATTCCGCAACATGTAATGATTCAAATACTCACCAGGTTCTTTCCAGCCCATCATCTTCTCGTTGGGAAGGTACAGATGGAAGGAAGGGAAGAATTCCACGACTTGATCAAAATATTTGATACCGATGTTAAGTTCATGAGCAACCACTTCAAGTTTGAGACCCGGATAGCATTGTTGTAGAATGTCGTCCTCAATCCAGAACTCTTCAGTGGAATCATCAAGTTCATCGATTCCGTCGTCCGTCTTGTCTTCATAGACATAGCCAGGACCTTCCCAAGCTTTGCACAAGAGCTTTCCAATTGGCTTTAGGGCACCCAATCCTCGAGGATCTTTAACATGCGAGAACTCTTTGACCACATTTGCAGAAGCACGATGAATATCTGCCACCTCCAAGAATCTGGTTTCAATTGTTACGACATGAATATCACCATTCTTGGCTTTTTCAAAGTGGCTCTTGTCGCCAATGAAGGCAACAATCCCTCCAAAGACAAATTGACAAACAGGCAGACTGAGTACTGGTATGTTGGAATCCCATTGATCTAAGTCGTCTTCGGGATTAGCCCAGGCGGAATTGATCTCCAAGTTTCGCTTGTAGTTTTCACCAAACAGTGTTGATGCGGCTACGTTGAAGTCGCCGGGAAACATTTGTCGGAGGCGTCGGATTGCATCGAATTCCCTCTCAGCAACGTCACATAATCGCCGAGCGGCCATGATTTCTTTGGTATATTCTTTACATACCTCATGAGCCAAGACGTAATTTAGGAAGTTTTTAACTACTCCGCAAAACATAGTCACTTCCTCTGGTCCATCACCAAGTATTCTGGGTGCCCTATAAGATCTATGGAACTGTCAGTGTATTTGACAAGATATGCTCATAGTATATCAACTTACAGAAAGCCCCTGGCAACTCCCTCCCAATCTACAACCCAATTTTCGGTATCTGAGGGGTCATAGTACTTGGCATTGCTAGCTCGAACAAAATCTGTAGCTTGTATAGCGGCAATTTCAGCTGCAGTGGAATTGTCTAGTGTTTCTTGATCGAGACCACCATTGAAAGTTTTGGTGCCAGATTCAATTCCACCCAAAGCAAAGTACTTTGTAAGAATATTCGCACGAGTGCTATCAAACTTGCGCCTAACAATAGTCAGATTATTAGCTAACGAGTTCTGCATGTTAACAAGGTATGTATGAATAACTACCGTGCTCTGTATCTCTGAATGCATGTTTCAATACGCCTTTCAAATCTTGTCAGTCTATGAAATATACTTCGGAAATGATTGCATACACAGCGAATGTTCGGCCTCTGAAAAGTTGTTAGCGAAGTTAACTGAGAAGGTATGAGGTACTTACTCGTGATAGATATCACATTCTTCTTCATATTCATCTGGAGTGAGAGGTGGGTCGGCGTAGAATTCTACCGTGTCACGTTAGAGCTATGTTCGAACTATTCATGTGTAACTGGTCTTGCATACCTTCGAATCCCGTTGGGCTAGCTGCCTTTTTCTTTCCACCGCTCTTTTTCTTCTTTTTCTTGGGCTCGCCCTCTCCGCCTTCAGTAACCTTTGCGTCACCATCTGCGCCTCCATCAACTGCGCCTTCTTCCTTCTTGTCGGGCTCTTCAGGAGTAACGGGGAGTCTAGCAATCGGTGTATTTGCACCAGAAGCGGGGGTGACTGATAAATGGACTGGGGTTGGAGGTGGGACTCTTGGAGGGGCTGGTGGTGTCTTTACACCAGTCGCAATTTCCGGGACGTTGATGTAAATGCTCTCATCGTCGCTGGAGCTCGACTTTGAACGGATGCTCAACAGCTGATCTCTCGTATAGCGCTTGCCCATTTTGATGTCGGATTCATCAGTAGCTCCATCAACCCCTCGTAAGGCAGTCAGATCGAGCTCGCTGATGGCACGAGACAACTCTTCAGGTTCAGGACCTACAGAGTGAGGTGCCATGATGTTGAGCTACCTAACCCAAATGGATGGATTAGTATCGTAACCAATAATGTAGAGCCACTTGGTGGAGAAAAACTGTCGGTACTTACGACGGCGAATTTGGTTGGTTGGGTTTTATCACAAGAGAAAGAACTATAGAAGGCAGTGCAAAAAATTAAGAGTTGGGTTACACTACCTTGATGTTGTTGGTGTGTAGTGGTTGTGGGGGGGAAGTTGCGAGGTCTTTGCGAAGACGTTTTAAGAAAACCTTTGGGATTGAAGCCCAATATGATGAGTCAAGTCAAATCAAATCAAGTCCAGGTGAATCTTTTCTTATGGGCTAATAAATAAAGCCAAAGTGAATTCCAATAATTTGATACAAGTGTTATGAAGAAATAGCAAAGAAACCCACAAGGTCAACAACTGCGGAGACTGCGGAGTGAACAAGGGTCAGTTGGATCTGGAATTTCAAGACTTGGTGTAACAACGGTAGATATATTGATTGTATAGATGCGATTGTTTCAAACTTTTCGTTTGCAATTTTTTTCTTTTCTTTCTTGGAGATATTGACAAACAATGACACAGTGGTAGAAGTGAAGAGTGAATCATATTGACTAGATGTTGAAGGTGTGTGTGTGTGTGTCTGTGTATGTATGTGTCTCTGTGTGTGTGTGGTTGGATATACCAGGTGATATGGTTCGAGTGAAAACCAAAGTTCATGTGTATGTATGATGTGATGGTGTGTTGACTGAGATTCAAATGTGGTGAAATGACGATAATAAAAGAGTGAAGTCGCCAGTAAGGTCAAGCAAGGAAGGCGCACACCAGATGAACGAAAAGAATGATGAAAAGAAGAATAACAATAAAAGCAAAAATGCCCTCTTCAATATCATTACCTCCTCCGTATCTTTTTCCAAATGGTGGTACCAAAGTCAAGTTGAATCTTGATATTACTTACCTATTGATATTGATGCATCTTTCCACTTCTGCCGACCATTTTCTATTTTTATTCAATGGATTTGCTAATATTTCAACTTCAACTTCTTCTGGTGTGCAGACGAGCGAGCACACATTATTATTAGACCCGCCTTCTATCACCAACACCGCCGAGTTACCTTTTTCAACAGGTTGACGGTTGAAAGTCAAGATCCTGGTTGCGGGGGACTGCAGATTGGTGGTGATGGGGATGGGATACCTTAGGGTTAGGGTGATGGAAGGAAGGAAGGATGGATGGATGGATGGATGGATGGATGGTGATGGTTAAAAAACATCAGAAAAAGATCTAGGTAGTTATTAGTAATGAGTAGGTAGGTACCTAATGTTTCATTCCCTTTTTCCGATTTTACGATTTTCCCATGGGATTTGGATCATTCCATCGATGCCTCCATATTGGCCTCCATCGATGCCTCCAGAACGGCCTCCATATCAGTCGCCATCCATCCGCCATGAAGAATGCCTTGTTTGCTGCACCAAAACTCCTTTGCCCAACAGTCCCCTATACCTTTCTCACGCTACTGCAAGGCAGCACATCTTCGCATTAGAGTTAGTTATTGACGCTTATTACTCGTTCATTGATCCCTCTCTTCCTGCACACAATGTTGGAAGGTTGTAGAGAAGGTACTTGGTGACATTGATGAGGGTACATTGCAGGTGGCAGTGTCGGATGAAATATGCGGAATCGGCAGGAATCGTGCATATCCATCCTATTCTGTACTTATGCTGGGTCTAAAAGGAACATCTCTACACCTGATGAGGGGAGGCGCTACACTTCCTTTATGAGGAAAAGGTTCCAGCGGTTTGCCATCTTCTCGGCAAGGTAATTATTTAATTACTTCCCGCATGTAAAATTGTCTCTTAGCTCGTCTGGGTGGGTTCATCTTGCGCGCCCAATGTGAAATGGGAAATCTGGTTAATCTCGATAACCACCAGTACACTCCTCATGATCCTCAAATACTCTCTTTGAATAATTAATTATCATTGAAGCCACGACAGACAAACGTCTCACTTTAAAACGCCCCTTTACCATACACATACACATACACATACACATACACACACACACACACACATCCTTATAATACTCAGCCTACTCTTACTCCTACTCCTGCATCAAGGTTTCTTCTTTTTCTAGCCCCAGAAGACAACCAGAAGGAAAACCCTATTCCTGGTTTTCCTTCACTTGATACATATATTCTGATACATTCCTTACAACAATGATATTCTCTTGAGACTTTGCGACATTCAAAAACATTATACAATGGCCAAACCTCTCCCAATTCATGCCGACTTGATCGACTGCAACTACGCTGTCGCAGGGCAGTAAGTGTCAAGGTCACATTCGATTTTGTGAGATTCAAAACATTAACCCCCAAACAGTGACGGCACTCTTTCCGATATTGATGGCGAATTGTTTATCAAACCTTGCACCGATACCGAGATCGCATTCTATAACGATACTATAGCAGAGCACCAAGACTTTTACGATTTCATGCCCGAATTTCTGGGAACTTTGCAGCTGGATGAGAACCAGAATAAATCATTCGAGGAAAAGGCTACAGAGTTGATTGCGCAGCATGCCAAACCTGAAGTGTCATACCCTGGCAGGACTAATGGCAAGAGAATTACTACCAATCAAGCCGTGGTTCTGATGAATGCATCGCACGGATTCGTGAAGCCCAATATTCTTGACGTCAAGCTTGGTGTACGACTATGGGCAGATGATGCGCATCAAGAGAAAAAAAAGAGATTTGACAAAGTTACGCAACAAACCACACACAAAGACCTTGGCTTTCGCATCGCAGGTATGAGAGTATGGCAGGGACCCAATGCGAAAGGCGATGATATAGATCAGGATGGCTATAGAATATATAATAAAGATTACGGCAGGTTCGAATTAAATAATAACAACGTTCACGAAGCATTCAAGAATTTCATCTTCACAGAATCAGCTGGTATCGACAACGAGTTAGGAAGATTAATCTCTCAGGCTTTTCTCACGGACTTGAGAAGAATACAGGATGCCTTGGAAAGCCAGGAGAGCAGAATGTACTCTGCTAGTCTTCTCTTCGTTTTTGAGGGCGATGGAAAAGCATTACGCGCCGCAATGGAAGAAGCTAGCAGGACCCCACCTCCAACCACTATGGAACATGCGTCATCATCATCCGGAGAAACTCACTCATCCTTTGAAGATGACGAGGAGGATGAAGATTTAGAAGAGGAATCTTTTCCCAAAATCTATTCTCTAAAAGTCATAGATTTTGCTCATGCTACATGGACTCCTGGCTTAGGACCGGATGAAAACGCTCTTGTGGGAGTACGTAGCGTGGGCGAAATTCTGGAGAAGCTGGCGGAGTAATAATGGATAGAATTATAATAATGTCCAATGGCATATCGAGTACACTATGCTCTAGGAGAGCTGCTGGTGCGCGGGAGTTGTAGGAGTCATGGGCTTGTCAAATGCAAAGTATCTTCATGGAGTTGCTTGGACAGGGCACACATCTATACATGAGCATGGCTGTTTATTAAAATATTAAGATACCCCACTGCGATTGGACATCTAGAAGTCTGCATATGCAAGCGTATGCGTTCATTTTGCTTTCACTTCTCATCTATCCGGGTTAGACACGGTTAATAATATATACTCGACTTTATGGTCCGCGCTCCTCTCGTATCCAGCTTTAAATGTGAGCGCTGCAGTATGATTAATGGTGAAGAATGCGCATCTCAGCTCCATGACGTGAGGTGATAGTGGCTTTGAAAGTGTGCTGTCCATATCGCCAAGCCCAATCTCTGATATACGGTCGTGAAGTACTAATGAGCTGCGGTATGCTTATTTTACCGACTAGCTAGAGAAAGGGCTAGATTGGGAGATGCTGGGCTTTAGACTTCAGAAAGTATTACATAGCAAAGCTGTAGTTGTATGTCAAATATGTGGATGTTTAAAGGTCGCTGAGACGACTTTCTTTGACAGTACCGAGTAGGTGCCCATTTAATCGTTTTAATTTATATCGAGTACCTAACAAGGTACCTCCTATGTATACAAAAATCCACTAAAAATATTTATCTTACCTACTTATATTCAAAGTCAAGTCAAGTCAATGATTTGTTAAATTATCGTGTTTGAAAAATACATAATTTGACATTGACCAGTAAATCCAACCAACTAACAAATTTCACATGGCAAACGCGTCGCGTGAAAGAAAGCACCATATTAGCTCACCATAAGGCTGAGAAACCCCTGCCACGGAAACCTTGATACCCCATATCTTTGAACTGGGAGCTCGACACTACACTCCCGCTCCCTAGCTAAAAAAAAACTTTACCCCATGCTCCACATCTTTCCCACGTAACCATACCTAGACACCATCATGTCGATACCGGGGCTTGGGCAAGCTGTGCATGCTGCTGTGAGTAGTAATTCGTGAATGAAACTCTAATTCCGTTACTCAATTTATTAACTCGTTGTGTAGAGAACTGCAGCACCAGCAGCTGTTGCGCATACGAATATTCATGAGCTTCAAGCTAACTCGGAATGGCGATTTGAAGTTGCGATTGGGGCGAGTATTGAAGTTAAGGTAAGAATTCTATTATATCCAATTCTATTATAGTTATATTCCCAACAATAGAACCTCGATCTAATCACTCACTCAGGTCCTCTCCGGCACCGCAGAAATCTTCGGCACCGAACTCGCCGTCAACCACACCTACACATTCCACGGCACTAAATCCTCCATCTACACCTGGCACGGCTGTCGCCTCGAAGTAAACGGACGATGCGAGGAATACACCGCGGAGGAAACCCCCATGATCTCCTACATCAACACGCATTTCGCGCTGGAGAACCTACGATCCGAAGCTAAGAAAGCAGGACAGGATGGTCCGCGTGTGCTCATCGTCGGGCCTAATAATACGGGCAAGACTAGCTTGGCGAAATTGCTCACCGCGTATGCGATACGTATGGGTCGGCAACCGATCGTCGTGAATACGGATTCGCGCGAGGGAATGCTAAGTATACCGGGGAGTTTGACGGCGGCCGCGTTTAAGAGTATTGTGGATGTGGAGGAGGGGTGGGGGAGTAGTTCGACGAGTGGACCGAGTCCAGTCCCGGTGAAATTGCCGTTGTGTTATTATTATGGACTTCCGAGTCCGGAAGATAATGTGAAGTTGTTTAAGCCGGTGGTCACGAGGCTGGCGTTGGCGGCGACGAGTAGGTTGCAGGATGATCCTGTGTGTAGGGAGACGGGGATGATTATTGATACGCCTGGGGTGATTAGTCAGGGGAAGGGAGGGTATGATTTGATTTCTCATATTGTGTCCGAGTTTGCAGGTGAGTTTGGGGATTTGGGTTTGAGAGGATATTGTGGACTAATGGGATTGACAGTTAATATTATTCTGGTCTTGGGCTCGGAACGTTTACACAGTGAAATGTTGCGGCGATTCTCAACCCAGAAGACTGATAACGGAGAAGCCATTACTCTCGTCAGGCTAGACAAGTCAGGAGGTTGTGTTGATAGAGATGATGCATTCATGCAACAAATGCGCGAAGCAACCATCAAGGAATATTTTTTCGGAGACGCCAAAAGGACCTTGAGTCCGCATACACAACTTGTTAATTTTGATGAGCTTTCGATTTATAAAGTCAAAGAAGGTACGCAATAGTCTTCCCTTTTCTCTCTTCTCATTGTATCTTCAGAACACTAACACTCCACAAGCACACTCAATGCAAAGTGCATTTTTACCCGGAGGAGAAGAAGAGACCGAACCCACACAATATGAAAAAGTAGAGCCAACACCTTCAATGTTGCATTGCATATTCGCGGTCATGCACGCATCGACTCGCGATTCTCAGGATACTATTCGAGATGCGAGTGTTATGGGCTTTGTATACGTAGCAGAAGTCGATGAGAAGAAAAAGAGAATGAAGATTCTGGCACCGCTTAATACGAGAGTCACAGATAGACCATTGATTTGGGGTAGCTGGCCTGAAGCCCCGGTAAACTTGATGGGATAATCAAATAATACACAATATCGCTGAGAAGAAAAGCTCTATTACCCGTTTTTGTGCTGGGTAGTCTGCCATGTGAATGCAAATCGATAGTAAAAAAAAATCCAGCGAAAAAAACTAAAAACATCCTGCCCTCATTACCCGAATTACGCCGTTTCGCATTGGTTTGCGCATTCTCAAACCAACCTGGATATTCCTCATTCCTCATTCATTCTTCATTCTTAATTCATATCACAACATCCCATTCCTCATTTCGCCACTCATCTACCTCCCTCTAATCTCTCGACTGCACCTTGTGATCCCCCCTAACAGCCTCCGCATACGTGGGTGGCACCGCCCCTCCACTACTTCCCTCTCCCCCCCGTCCCTGTTCCTCTCCCGCACTCGCCCACGTCCCATTCTGCTGTTGCTGAACAATCGGCGCTTCCATCGGAGCATTCGTTCCATATCCTTGCTGTTGTCTCTGCGCACCTCTCGAATCCTTGGACACCCGCTGCGTGTGTCCATTGGGACCTTGTACCACGACATATGTTACACGTGCATTTTCGGAATCGGGAATAGCGTCGTAGGAGTCTTGGTCGGGGAATTTGGCAATGATATACCAGGCGTGTAGGAGGCCGGGGAGGAACCCGAGCATGCAGAGGAGAATGTTGATGAGGGAGTCGGCGGAGCAGAGGCCGCGTTTTACCCAGACTAGGGAGAGGGTTAGTGGATGGGATGGTGAGATGATGGAGGGATGGATAGGAGTGAGGGGGATATGGGGTGGGAGGGGAGTGAGTGGGTTGTCATGCGTGGTTGTTGGATTCTTGGGAAAGGGAAAGAGTGCAGAGTTGGGAATATATATGCTTACCTGCGAGAGGGGGAAATAAGATGGCGATTAAGCCGAGGAAGATATCGGATGAGCACATGTTCGATTTGTTTGATATAGGTATGAATATGTGTATTCTGTAGGTTTGAAGGGTTCTTTGATTTTGCAAAGAATGGTCGTTGGTCGAAGGAGCGGCTTTGGATTTATGCGAAATCAAATGTCTCTGTTCGCGGGCGAAGCAGATTCTTGGTTGTGCAGGTGGTTCGTCATCGGAGATCGGCCTTGCGAGTCAAAGGAGGCACCAGGAAATCCTTCTGACCTCTTTGAGATTAGCGTTCATGCAATGATGCAGCCTTGGTCTGCTTATCGATAAGAACAGCGGAAAGTCGGACACAAATATTGCAGCTAGATAATCCTTGTCGCGGTTTAAGTCCAGACATTTGATGATTAAAAAAGTTCGAGATTTGATCTGTTACGCTTTACACTTGCACATATAATTTACGAACGACAAATATGCCGGGAAATAATAGGGATATCGATATGGAGGAAGAGGATGATCCAATAGTCAGCTCTTATGATATTTTCATTAAACCTCATATTTCTGAAGGCCGAGAAATTTATGTATTGCAATTCCCCAATCGCGATATTGAGCAACGATATGCTGGGTCAAATGATGCTCAACCTCTCAAGTTTCGAACGAAACCAAAGGCCGGTATGGTCGAAATGGATGTTCCAATCGATGCGCGCAGGAATTATGATAAGGATAAGGGTGTGAAATGGGGAGATGCGATTAAGAAGAGTCAAATGGTTAAGGGTGGAGGAAGTCATGGTTTACCAGGTGGTTTTGGAATTGGGGGAGCACAACCAACTGGCAGAGGAAGAGGACGGGCACAAGAGCTTGATCCGGAGAAAGTAATGGCGGATTTCGAAGGTGCTATCCGGGCGGAGCAAGTTTTGGTGAAGCAAACTCTTGGAGGTCAAATCATTCCCGTCGATCAAAATAGTCCCCAATACTTTTTAGGCGCTTTTCAGAGTGGTAATTGGAGATGCTTTTTTTCTTCTTCATTCTTGGGCAAGATGCTAATTCAATCTAGATAAACTTCATCTCACTCCAATTGACCACATGGTACAAATGAGGCCTCAATTTCATCATATCGACGCACATGTAGAACAGGAAAAGCAAAACCGACCTCGCGAAGGACCGGCACCAAAGGCTACCGAAGCTCGAGCTATTCATATGACGGTTAAGTCAAGTATTGATGGAGAAGAAGATGGAAGTGATAATATTGGGGTACGAATCGCTGCTGCGCAACAAGAGCAATGGGTAAAGCACCGATATGTCGACGAGGATCATCAATCTGCTTGGGAATGCTATCATGAAAACATGTTTATCTATCCTGAACCAGATGAGAAAGGAGAAGAGCAAGAACTGTCGACAGATGTGGTCCCAAAGTTGACTACTGGCATAGATGATATGGCATATATGGATACAATCAGTGCGCCAAATAATGCTGCGAAAATGTCAAGGGCTAAGGTGGATGCGCAAACGATTGATTTGGATGCAGATGATGATGAATAAATAAAATTGTATGATATGGGTTCATTCTCTGGCGTATAAAATCAAAAAAGATACCCCGCACATGTCCTTGGTAGACGAGATACTAGGTAGACAATTGAACATACTTCAGCAGAACAATTTTATGTTTGTATACTTCATTTGAAATGGAATGAATAGATTTTGATTATATATAATGGAGTATCTTTCTTCGTATTTCATCAAGAAATCTATTCTGGCTAGGTATCAATCGACGCACTCTACTTGAGGCTTGATGTATCTTAAATCCGAATACAGGCAGGCGATAACGATAAAAAAGTTCCGGCGTCATTCATTATCAACCATAGCTCGGCCGATAGGTAGCTTTACTTGCTTGCTATCCTAAGCTCGCCATCCCACCAAACAAACCATTTTTACCGCACTTTCTTCCACGCAACTTCCAGATTCAAAATGGCATATCTGGCCCCAATACATAGACCAAGTAGTGTACGACTTACACTGCGATTGAATCTTTTAGATCATAGAGAGGAATGTCTGGTACTTGCGTAAGTAGCAATCTATACAAGATTCCATGATTCAAATGCATAACTCAATGGAATACTGACTTCGTCACAGGAAAGCAAATCGATTGGAAATATGGAGGGCCACAGAAGAAGGTCTCACGATGGCATATTCAAAGTCTATATATGGCCGCATATCCATGCTGCAAAAGATCCAACCAGCGGGATCCAAAACCGATCATCTCTTCGTCGGGACCGTTCGAGCACAATACTTTACCGTGATGTGGAATCCCAAGACCCATAAACTGGATACCATGCAATCGTTCGTCGATATCTCTCAAGAACACATGCGGGATTCGGAAAGTAGGGATCGATGTCTTGTGGATCCGACGGGGCGATTATTAGTTATGGAATTGTATGAGGGAGTACTCAATTTGGTGAAGATTGTAAAGCCGAGAGGAGGCAAGACGGATTACTTAGAGAACCCGGAGCAAGTGAGGATTTCGGAGATGAAGGTTCGGGCAAGTGCGTTTTTGTATACGGATACTAAACAGCCGAAATTGGCTTTGTTGTATCAGGATGCGAGGGAGAACGTGAAATTGGCGACATATAGGATGATGGATGATAAGGGGCAGCTTGTTTTGCAGTTTGATCCGAAGAAGGATAGGGAGAATGATGTGGATGATTTGTGTGTTGGTGCTATGCATATCATACCGGTTCCGAAGGCGAGGGATGAGGCGAGCAAGAGGTATATTGTTAGGAACGCTACGATGGCGAAGGCTAATCTAGGAGGCCTGGTCGTCTTGGGGGAAACGAAGCTTACATATCTGGATGACGAAAGTAAAGCTATTGTCGAATATGCGTTGGATGAAGCTGTGTTATGGGCGGCGTGGGAACCGATAGATGAGAAAAATTATCTACTGGGGGATGATTATGGCTTTTTATACATTTTAACAATACTGGTCGATGGTGCTACGGTTACTGGACTACAAGTTATGAAATTGGGTCAGGTATCTAAGCCTACGTCTCTGGAGAACTTGGGGAATGGAATCTTCTATATTGCTTCCCATGAAGCGGACAATCAGGTTGTTCAAATAGATTTGGAGAGTCCAGAACATGGTGTTGTATTGTTACAGACACTGCCGAATATTGCTCCGATACTTGATTTCACGGTCATGGATATGGGTGGGCGAGAGGGTGAAACCCAATTGAATGAATATTCTTCAGGTCAGGCTCGATTAGTGACGGGCAGTGGAGGATTTGAGGGAGGAAGTTTGAGGAGTGTTCGGAGTGGAGTTGGACTTGATGATACTGCAATACTTGCGGAAATGGAGGGTATCCGCAAGGTCTTCGCGTTACATTCTGGTCCAAGTCTACCGAATGATACTCTTGTAGTGTCATTTTCTACAGAGACTCGATTCTTTAAGTTTGATACACAAGGAGATATTGAAGAAGTGGAGACTATTAAGAATTTGTGTTCTACTTCCGAAACCTTACTAACTTATAACCTTGATGAAGGCTGTGTACTACAAGTCACACAAAATGAGGTAGCAATACATGGCAAATCTCTCGGTCATCGATGGCAACCTCCTGACGGACAAATAATCACGGCAGCTTCAGGGAACCAGAACTATATTTTACTTTCATCTAATGGACGTACTTTGATCACTTTATCTATTCAACAGAATTTAGCAGAGGTCGCATTCCAGGAGCTTGGAGATGATCAAGTAGCTTGCATACATGTACCGCAAGTATTGGGTGATATAGGTATCATTGGATTATGGAAGTCGGGATCGGTATCTCTACTTGATCTCGCGACTCTCAAAACTATCGTATCCGAGGATTTACGACGAGCTGATGGTGCTTCCATACCCAGAGATATTGCTCTCACTCAAATTTTACCTCCAGAACTCTCAGGTCCAACGTTGTTTGTTAGTATGGAGGATGGTATTGTGTTGAGCTTCAATGTCGACAAGACAGATTGTTCACTTTCGGGACGAAAAAGTATTGTCCTTGGAACACAACAGGCGCAACTCCAGATTTTGCCACGGGATAATACAACTTTTAATATTTTTGCAACATGCGAGCATCCTAGCTTGATATATGGTTCTGAAGGTAGAACTGTGTATTCGGCCGTTACAGCTGAAGACGCAATCGCAGTATGTTCACTTAACAGTGTCGCGTATCCAGATTCAGTAGTTGTGGCTACAACAAATGAACTCAAGCTCGCAGTCATTGACAATGAAAGGAGAACACATGTCAGAACTCTACCGATTGGTGAAACTGTAAGGAGGGTGGCATATTCAGCTAAAGAGAAATCGTTTGCGATTGGAGCTATCAAACGTGAGTTGACAAAGGGACAAGAAGTTGTCACGACTTCTTTTAGACTTGTCGACGAGGTTGTTTTTGGTGAGCTAGGAGAGCCATACTATTTACCACCGAATAATGAGATTATCGAGACTGTTATACGAGCGGAACTTCCAACAAGACATGGCAGTGGCGGATTAGTCGAGCGCTTCCTTGTCGGTACAAGTTTTCTTCATGAGGAGGAAGCGAATGTTCGTGGTCGTCTTCTAATTTTTGGTGTCAATGCCGACAGAGCGCCATATATAATTGCTTCTCACAATATCAAAGGTTCCTGTCGATGTATTGGTGTACTCGATGGTAAAATCGTAGCGGCACTCAATAAAACAGTCGTGATGTACGACTATGAGGAAACCTCCACAACCTGCGCCAAGCTTAATAAACTAGCAACATATCGATGTTCAACTTGTCCAATCGATATCGATATTACAGATAATATAATAGCGGTAGCCGATATTATGAAATCGGTTGCGCTGGTCGAATATACACCTGGGACTGGTGGTCTTCCAGATAAACTTGAGGAGGTGGCAAGACATGCACAACAAGTCTTCTCAACGAGTGTTGCAGAGGTAGATACAAATACGTATTTGGAAACAGATCATGATGGGAATTTGATTTTGTTGAAGAGGAATCGAGAGGGTGTTACGAGAGAAGATAAATCTAGAATGGAAGTTACTTGTG